GTGAAAGTTTTTCTTTTTCGGGCCACCCTGCCTTTGTGGGAATCGGCCAGTGTGATAATAAAAAAAAATAAATGTATGACAGAGGGGAAGGTACCTAGGGATTGGCAGAGAGCTTGTATAGTTCCTTTATATAAAGGGAAAGGAGACAAAAGAGATTGTAAAAATTATAGAGGAATTAGTTTACTGAGTATACCAGGAAAAGTGTACAGTAGGGTTATTATTGAAAGAATTAGAGATAAGACAGAATGTAGGATTGCAGATGAGCAAAGAGGTTTTAGAGTGGGTAGGGGATGTGTAGATCAAGTGTTTACATTGAAGCATAAATGTGAACAGTATTTAGATAAAGGTAGGGAAGTTTTCATTGCATTTATGAATTTAGAAAAGGCATATGATAGAGTGGATAGGGGAGCAATGTGGCAGATGTTGCAAGTTTATGGAATAGGTAGTAAGTTACTAAATGCTGTAAAGAGTTTTTATGAGGATAGTGAGGCTCAGGTTAGGATGTGTAGAAGAGAAGGAGACTACTTCCCAGTAAAAGTAGGTCTTAGACAGGGATGTTTCATGTCACCATGGTTGTTTAATATATTTATAGATGGGGTTGTAAAAGTGGTAAATGTTAGGGTGTTCGGGAGAGGGATAGGATTAAATTACGGGGAATCAAATACAAAATGGGAATTGACACGGTTACTTTTTTGCTGATGATACTGTGCTTATGGGAGATTCTTAAGAAAAATTGCAAAGGTTAGTGGATGAGTTTGGGAGTGTGTGTAAAGGTAGAAAGTTGAAAGTGAACATAGAAAAGAGTAAGGTGATGAGGGTATCAAATGATTTAGATAAAGACAAATTCGATATCAAATTAGGGAGGAGGAGTATGGAAGAAGTGAATGTTTTCAGACATTTGGGAGTTGACGTGTCAGCAGATGGATTTATGAAGGATGAGGTTAATCATAGAATTGATGAAGGAAAAAAGGTGAGTGGTGCGTTGAGGTATATGTGGAGACAAAAAACGTTATCTATGGAGGCAAAGAAGGGAATGTATGAAAGTATAGTAGTACCAACACTCTTATATGGGTGTGAAGCTTGGGTGGTAAATGCTGCAGCGAGGAGACAGTTGGAGGCAGTGGAGATGTCTTGTCTAAGGGCAATGTGTGGTGTAAATACTATGCAGAATATTCGGAGTGTGGAAATTAGGAGAAGGTGTGGAGTTAATAAAAGTATTAATCAGAAGGCTGAAGAGGGGTTGTTGAAGTGGTTTGGTCATTTAGAGAGAATGGATCAAAGTAGAATGACATGGAGAGCGTATAAATCTGTAGGGGAAGGAAGGCGGGGTAGGGGTCGTCCTCGAAAAGGTTGGAGGGAGGGGGTAAAGGAGGTTTTGTGGGCGACGGGCTTGGACTTCCAGCGAGCGTGCGTGAGCTCGTTAGATAGGAGTGAATGGAGACGAATGGTATTTGGGACCTGACAAGCTGTTGGAGTGTGAGCAGGGTAATATTTAGTGAAGGGATTCAGGGAAACCGGTTATTTTTATAGGCTGGACATTAGTCCTGGAAATTGGAAGTACAATGCCTGCACTTTAAAGGAGGGGTTTGGGATACTGGCAGTTTGGAGGGATATGTTGTGTATCTTTATACATATAGTATGCTTCTAAACTGTTGTATTTCTGAGCACCTCTGCAAAAACAGTGATTATGTGCAAGTGAGGTGAAAGTGTTGAATGATGATAAAAGTATTTTCTTTTTGGGGATTTTCTTTCTTAATGGGTCACCCTGCCTCGGTGGGAGATGGCCGACTTTAAAAAAAAAAAAAATTGCTACAGTTATAAAACTGCAACATTAACACCCCTCCTTCAGAGTGCAGGCACTGTACTTCCCATCTCCAGGACTCAAGTCCGGCCTGCCGGTTTCCCTGAATCCCTTCATGAATGTTATCTTGCTCACACTCCAACAGCACATCAAGTCCTAAACACAATTTGTCTCCACTCCTAACATGCTCATGCATGCTTGATGGAAGTCCAAGTCAATCGCACACAAAAACCCCTTTTACCCTCTCCCTCCAACCTTTCCTAGGCCGACCCCTTCCCTGCTTTCCTTCCACTACAGATTTATAAGCTCTCCAAATCATTCTATTTTGGTCCTTCCTCTCTAAATGTCCAAACCACCTCAACAACCCCTCCTCAGCCCTCTGGATAATACTTTTAGTAACCCCACACCACCTCCTAATTTCCAAACTACAGATTCTCTGCATTATATTCACACCACACATTGCCCTCAGACACATCTCCACTGCCTCCAGCCTCTTCCTTGTTGAAACATTCACCATCCATGCTTCACACCCATATAAGAGCATTGGTATAACTATGCTCTCATACAATTCCCTCTTCGCTTCCACTGATAATTTTCTTTGTCTCCACACACTCCTCAGTGCATCACTCACCTTTTTCCTCTCATCAGTTCTATGATTCACCTCATCTTTCATAGACCCATCTGCTGACACGTCCACTCCCAAATATCTGAATACATTCACCTCCTCCTTATTGTAACATTACCCAACATCAAACTCCTTTTACTCTGCTTATCATGACTCATTTATTAACACTCATTATAATGAGTACATGTATGTAGCTCCCACCTGTTTCCAATTAATTATAAAATCTTCATTTGTACAACTAGTACTCGTATTTTGTCATTTTCACTACAAGTAGCCAGGCTAAACAATGTTATCCACTGTTTTATATATCCTTACCCAGCATCTGTACAATAATATGACAGGTCTAGGTTAAACCAGGGGTCACCAACCCAAACTCTGCATGATGTCCTCTGAACCTACTTTTTTTTTTTTTAACCTCAATATGTCTCCTACCAAGGCAAGGTGACTCAAATAAGGAAACGCTTTCACCATCATTTATTCAACTGCTGTTTTGCTAGAAGTGTGCTGACATCACAATTCAGACTATCCTTTGATTGCAATTCCCCGTCCTTTAGGGCGCAGGAAATGCCCTTCCCACCTCCAGGACTCAAGTCTGGCTAGCTGGTTTCCCTGGACCCCTTTGTTAATATTACCTTGTTTACACTCCAACAGCATATCCATTAAAATCCACTGATTTCCATTCACTCCCACTTAACATGCTAACACAAGCCTACTACATACTCAAAGCCCTCCTACCTTTCACCCCAGATTTATACACCCTTTTTGTTATCCTACCCCTCTCCATCTTCTCTAAATGCCAAAACCACCTTAACAATCCCTACTAGGCACTTCAAATAATAAAGCTGATGACCCCACACCATATTATTTCAACACTCCAAACTCTTAGTATAATGTTCACACCATACACTGCTCTCAAACATGACATCTCTATTGCCTCTAGCCACCTCCTTGCTGCAGCATTCAAAGCCCATGCCTCATCCCTATATAAAAATTCTGGTGCCACTATACTCTGGTACACTCCCTCTTTTTGTATCCACTGAAAAGCTTTTTTTTTTCTTCACAGATGTCTGAACATACCACCTAACTTTATTACACTTATCAATTCTGTGGTTCACCTCATCTTTCACAGACCCATCTAACATGTCAGCTACCAAATATCTGAATACATTAACTTCTTTCATATTCCCACTTTCCAATCTGAAATTCAATCTATCATTGCCTAGACTTTCTAGCCATTATTCACTTTTACATAACCTTCCAAAATTATCCAACAACCCTTTGAAACTTGCCTTCAAAATTCCACAAAGAAACAATGAGTGTTTTTTTTAACAAGTTGGCCGTCTCCCACCAAGGTATAATTTTTTTTACCACGCTGCCCATCTCCAACAAAAGTAGGGTAACCCAAAAAAAGAAACACATTCATCATCATTCATTAGTTATTTTGCTGGACAAACCCAGTTTCCTCACAATTTTTAACCCTTGTGATCCAGAGAATATGGAAACATTGTATTTACTGCTATATTGAAAACAGCTAGTTTAGTTCTGTTTGTTCTGACTTGTAACTCCCATGGTGATAAATAACTTAATATAGATGCATGTGCTCACTACTGACAGAAAAAAACAGATTTGTTCCCATCTGTAATGGCAAAGTACGTATATCCACTTTATACCTGGGATTATACAAAAAATCTGATTATTGTAGTGGAAAGTGCCTCCTTTCCCTCCTCATCTTATGGCCAGTAATGTATAGTATATATTGTACTATAAACTGATGCAAAATTTAACAGAAAAAATGCTGACAAAATGGGAACTCTCTGCTCCTGGTGGAAAACAAGGCTCATCAAAACTTGTTTTATTTATATGCTTCTATTAAAAAAAGAAGAATCCTTAGTATAAAAAACTATACCACGATTGGTTGGTTTGCAATCGTGTCATTATGATTTCATGAGTCATGTTGACAGCTTTGAGGGGACTTGAGCTAGAGTTTGTCAAGGCCACACTAGCTGGAGATTTGTCTGTAAAAACTTGCATTTGTGGTCACAGTGGTGCCTATGCTAACCTTCCTATGGTGTATAAATATACCTAGTTGGATGAATCTTATTGTGGCTAGCTGGCCCAGTGGCTAGCGATAGTCTGGAGTTTTGAGACTCTCTGAAAGTGGGTTCTAACCCCACCCGTGGTATGGTTTGTTTGCAATCGTGTCATTATGATTTCGTGAGTAATCCTTAGTATATTAGATACAACCAGTTCTTTTTTATATAAGCCAGTTGGCTAGCCCACTGTTATATGCAGTATTGTCTTGGGTGGGGTGACCATTACTTGTCAAATATTAACAAAAATTTTGCAATTTGATGACATCAGGATACACTATAATAACCTAGACTTTTTTAATTTTTCCACTTTTCCTTATGGTACTGGATACCAGCAATCATTCTTGCATCCTAACACTCCTAATATTTCTATAATTTGCAACTTTAGGGATTCGTGTGCTACACATTTACACAGCTGAACTTCCATTAACACGCTTGTAAAAAAAAATTATTAAATTTTTTTTTTGTCATATTAGCTACATACCCCAGACACGATGAGTTCGCCAGAAATATTCTGTACATCTGCCTTGACCTTAGAGGTAATGTTCAACTGGTGACAATACAGAGCAATACGATCCAAATATGCTAACATGTCATCCTTTGTTCTTGATTCAGGACACTGATCAGCAATCTGTCTGGAAAGTTTATCCAACTTGGTTCCTGCTTCAGAAATTTTTTTAGCAGCATTGATGACATCCATGGTTGTTTTTAGTGGGCCACGACCTCTGAAATATAAATTAAGAAAGTCATTAAGAACAGAACTGTAAGAAAAGAGTATACTTTTAAATAGAAGTACAGCATTAGTGAAATGTTTCTATTAATGCTTAAAAATCCTTTTACTCTTATATTTACCTTTAATAATAATGCTCCTACATTAACTTTTATTTTTAATATTAAGTTGCAAAATTTCTCTGGTCCATTAGTAAAGCACACTAACCTGGTAAAATCAGTCATCTCCATCATGATCATACACATATGCTTGGCCAAAACAATTATGTCATTACCAGTGTCATCCCATTTAGCAACTCTTGGTCAAACTTCACCTTTTCCAAGCGGAAGTTTTCAACCTAACAAATGAAATAAGATAGAAAATTACATTATACCCAAGATTGGCAAATACTGAAAAAATAACATTCAAAAGTTTACCACACAAAAGGCTCTTAGAAAAAGGACATTCATAACTTTTTTCTATAATAAATACTAAAATAATGTAAGTAACCACTCAAGTGAGCACGCTCTTACCAATGAATCACTATGATGAATTTGCTCATTAACTGCCATAATGAATTTATCAAGTGAACAATCTTCTGCCAATTAATCACTGTAGCCAACTTGAGTCACAGGGGTGGAAAGTACAGTGTCTACATTCTGAATGAGGGGTGGGGATATAGCAGTTTGGAAGGGTGTCTCAGTTGTAGTGTCGGCGTGCCTCTGGCAAGATGGTGATGGAATGAGTGATAGTAAAAGTTTTTTCTCCTTTTTTTTTGAGTCACCTTACCTTGGTTGGAGATGGTTAGTGTTAAAAAAAAAAAGTGAATTTCAATGGCAAAAGGGACAATACCAGAAAGCCTAGGAAACACGCTACACTAACAGATACTAGATTATCAAATTGGTAATGGAGAAGATTTATCAGACTGGAAAGAAGTGATTTCATAAACAATAACCAGCATGGGTTCAGAGATGGCACATGTTTGTTTTACCAGCCTGCTGGAGCTCTATGACAAAGTAACAGGAGAGAGAAAAATGAGTGGACTATATTTTCTTAGACTGCAAAAAGGTATTTGATATTGTACCCTACAAGAGACTGGGGAAAAAAAATTGAGGTGCAGGCAGGAATAAGAGAATTTTCTCCAGTCAATCAAAGAGTATGATAGGGAAGGAAATAGAGTGATTGTCAGGAAAGGTCATGTCAGAACAGGGTACTTTATTACAAAAGTATAAGAACATAAGAACATAAGAATGTAGGAACACTGCAGAAGGCCTACTGGCCCATACGAGGCAGGTCCTTATCAAAACGACATCTACCTAAAGCTACTCAAGAAATAACTCCCGTACCCCTTGACACCAATCAAACCCAGCCCCTCCCACTCATATATTTGTCCAGTCTCTTCTTAAAGCTACTAAGTCTCTTCTTAAAGCTACATTAAGGTTTGTTCCAGAGCTACAAAGAGAAATGAATCTAATGACACTGGAAGACAGAAGAACCAAGAGAGAGATGATAACATGCAAAATACTCAAGAGGAATTGATAGAATAGATAGGGACACATCTGGAAATTAAAGGCACAGAGAAACCACAGGGTTGTCAGGAAGTATTTCCTTAGTCTCAGAGTGGTTGGGAAGTAGAATGATCTCAATGAAGAAGTGGTGGAGGCAGGCTCCATACATAGTTTTAAGAGCAGGTGCAATAGGGTCTGAGGCTAGGAGGGAATGAATCTAGTGAAGGGTGGGGCCAGGAGTTAGGGCTTGACCCCTGCAACCATATATAGGTGAGCATAACATAACTTAATATTTTAACTACTGTACATTGTTACTTTTTCTTTTCTAGCTAGATACTAACCAATATGAAGTTTTACTTTAACAGTTGTTACATTTGGATTTTCACAAATACACACAGAGAATGTGTATGAATATTTCCAAGTACAGTACTGTTCTTTATCATCATTTTAGGTATGGTATTTTACATACATCGTAACCCTTCAAGGGTCTAGACCCCCAATCTGAAAATTCTCCACAGGGTCTAATTATTTAAAAAAATTATTATTTTTCTATTGAAATGGTAGAGAATATTCTTCCGACGGTAATTAAAAAAAAGCGCAAAATTTGATCAAAAACTGACAAAATTACTCTTGCGAATTTTGCTGTGTCAGCGATATTTACGCATCAGCGATTTTTGCCCACTCTGAGTCCTATTTTTGGCCTATTACATTGTTCTATTAGACCAAATTCTTAGCTATTTCACTAGTAGGTGTTCCAGTCAACTATTTCAACTACTCAATAAAATGACTGGAAATTGATAATTTGGCCAATTTCACACAAAGTTCAAAATATTCCAGTTTTAAATTAGGGTCCAGAATAAACAATGCAGGCATTCCTGGCACTAAAATAGCATTTCCTCTGTTTATTAATTATGTTTCCATTTTGATTTTTTATTCACAAAGAATTTTTATTCAAACCAAGAGTAAATTTACTGTTATGCAATATTGTAATAACTTCATAAATAATATCAGTGCATTCGTGAACGCACATTAGACCCATTAGCTGACATGCTTGATATGATTTGTTTACTCTTGAACTTCAGCAACAATCAAATATTTCCGCTACTTTGAGCTCAATTTCAAGCTATTTTCATTATGAAAACCAATCAAAATTATCTCTATTTCTGTAATATATCTTCCATTCTATCAAATGAGATCAAGAAACTGCAAATACAACCGTAAAAACTACACAAAAATACACCACAAAGTCGCTGTTTTAATCCAAAAACATGCTCACAGCTTTTTTCTCATTACGCACTATGTGCTGCAGGATTTGTTTTGTATGGTGCACACTTACCATATAGATGCATTCTTTCATATCTAGGCCCAAATTTACCACTCAGTTTATCTATTTGAGCTGAGCTCATGACGTAGTACTACGGCTTGGACCCAGGCTTCAAAGCCTTAGAACTATGGGACGGACCCTCAAAGGGCTAATTACAATACAGGTATTCCTCACTTAACAAGCTACCTGTTTAACGACTGCTCGGACTTATGACCAGATCTCCAACCAGTGTACTGTATGTGTATTTTACTTTTTTATTGTTTTAATGCCTAGTTCTATTTTTAATACAGTAGACCCTTATGTTACACGGATTTATCTGGCACGTTTTGGTTATTACACTGTTAAAAAATTGCGGCATAATTTTATACAACACTTTATAAAATTAACTTAACATGGTTCAGTTTGCAGGAGGAGAAAAAATTTGGAGCATCGCCCACAGGATATTTCCCTAGCTCAGGCCACTGCCTTGCTCTGGGTGAGACCACTGTCTCTGCGGGAAAGACCTATCACCCTCCCCTTCCACCCCCATCCCAGCCTTCTGTTCATACACATCTAGGAGCTAGCCGTGTTTGATATTTTAATTGCCATATCTTGTATCTGCCAAGTAATAATGGCATCCAGTAGGCACACAAGTGTTGCTGAGAGTGGCAAGGAAAGGGTTTAAGCATTTAAATTCTTGGAGTTACAAAGAAAATTGAGATATTAGACAAGCTTATGAGTGGCTCACGTGGTGCATATAGCAAGAGCCTATGGCCTTAACGAAGCATGAGTTTGTACAATCTCTTCACAATCATTGACAAATACAGGAAGGCCCCACTTATACGGCGGGTTAAGTTCCAGGCTACCGCCGTAAAGCGGAAACCGCCGTAAAGTGGAACACCCTTTTTTTCCACTTACAAATGCATACAAACACTAGATAACAAGTTTACACTAACATATATTATGTTAGCAATAGAACCAGGCATCAAAAAACAATAAAAAAGTACAATACACACATAGTGCACTCATTACTTACCTTAAAATATTTATAGTCTTAATCTAGGGTGAGACAAGTAGTATTTTATTGTAAGAAATCAAGTGTGGTATGTATTGTAATAGCCAGGCTACCTCACCAGGCCACCCCACCACACATACTATTCTATGATATTTAAGCATCCCAGAGCGATAAAATGTATATACAGTTCACTCATTACTTACCTTAAAATATTTGTAGTCTTAATGTAGGGTCAGGAGTAAGTAAATGAGATAAAACGAATAAATGAGAGAGAGAAAGAATGAGTACATGAGAGGTAACAGGCGCAGAGTTATGTAAACAAACCAGGCTCCCACATCTTATATTTATGTTTATTTATTCTATTGTGGGGTGTATTTATCATCTTTTTATGTTATGTATCGTGTTTATTATATAATTTTGAAAAAAATATCATGGCTGGATTAATGAATATGTGTATATTACCGTAATATACGACATTTAATGAGACTCGGTGACTATTGTTATTATGGCGTCACTTGTGGAAGTCGTCTGCTCACATCTCACATTTATGTTTATTTATTCTACTGTGGGGTGTATTTATCTTATTTATATGTTATGCATCGTGTTTATTATATAATTTTGAAAAAAATATCATGGATGGATTAATGAAAATGTGTATATTACCGTAATATACGACATTTAATGAGACTCGGTGACTATTGTTATTATGGCGTCACTTGTGGAAGTCGTCTGCTCACATCTCACATTTATGTTTATTTATTCTACTGTGGGGTGTATTTATCTTATTTATATGTTATGCATCGTGTTTATTATATAATTTTGAAAAAAATATCATGGATGGATTAATGAAAATGTGTATATTACCGTAATATACGACATTTAATGAGACTCGGTGAGTATTGTTATTAGGGCGTCACTTGTGGAAGTCGTCTGCTCACATCTCACATTTATGTTTATTTATTCTACTGTGGGGTGTATTTATCTTATTTATATGTTATGCATCGTGTTTATTATATAATTTTGAAAAAAATATCATGGATGGATTAATGAAAATGTGTATATTACCGTAATATACGACATTTAATGAGACTCGGTGAGTATTGTTATTATGGCGTCACTTGTGGAAGTCGTCTGCTCACATCTCACATTTATGTTTATTTATTCTACTGTGGGGTGTATTTATCTTATTTATATGTTATGCATCGTGTTTATTATATAATTTTGAAAAAAATATCATGGATGGATTAATGAAAATGTGTATATTAACGTAATATACGACATTTAAATGACTCGATGTATGTAAGTTTATTTAGGTACAGGTATACATAAGTATAATTATCAGAGTATATATAAAATATGAAATAACTTTTAAAAACATTTGAAATTTTGGAGTTTCCAGACAAAATAGAGAGACTTAGTGCTTACTGAGCTCATGGAGAATGTAAACAAACAGGGTGGGGCACGGTGACCGTATTAGAAAGTCAGGTGGGGGGAGCCGTATAGTGAGTTTTGGTCATAATTTGAAATGTCCGTATTAGCGGAACGCCGTAAAGTGAAACGCCGTAAAGCGGGGCCTTCCTGTATGAGCACCCACAACTAAAGTTAAGAAATACTATTATTTCTGTTGCATTTGTAGTCTTAAACAGCAAAAACAACATAATACATCATGAGAATGAACAAAAATTACATACGTATTCACTTTTATTTTTGTAAGATCTGGAGGTCTTAAAAAAATTTTGAATTTTTGGGGGGCTCCCAGTAGGATAACCTTACTTTTCCCACAAGTTCTTCAGTTTATCTAACACAACATTTTCAGAAAGCTAAGTAACATGTAACATAATGGTCTACTGCACACTAAAAATATTATAAATGGTACAAACATGACATGAAAACAATATCTAAAAATGGTTGACACAAACCCACTACCAGTACAGTATGTTTGAAATATCAATAACGTTTAACGACCAATTCGCTTACTGACCTACTCTTGGGAATGGAATTCAAATGTTAAGTAAGGAGTACCTGTATATCCATAGATATTATAGGTTTTCATAAGAAGTGCCAATGTATTACAGACCTGTAGAAGAATCACAAAAATAGAGTTTTCTACAGTATTTATCTTCACATTATAAGTCCTTTGTATTAAAAAAATATATTTATAAAGAAGAGTAGTCACTAACCTGAGCTGCAATTTTGTCTTTGTCTTCCTCACTCAAGTTTCTCATAGCATCTCTAGCTGTGGTAATGCCACTCACTCCAGGATATTCATCAATAGTGGTTTCTACTGTGTGAGCACTTGCTGCAAGACCAGGTAAAAGTATTTTACAATAAATACTAGTAAAGAGAAAATGAAGGCAAAGAGAAAAAATTACTTCACAAAAAAATCTGCATTTCATGTTCTTAGGCAGTGAACCATTAATGTAATAACCATAGGCAGACAAAAGTTGATGACAAACTTTTGAATTTTGTGCAAGTGTAATTAACCTCCTTGCATTTCTAGGTATAGAAGACAGGAGGCTACAAAATATTTGTAAATTTTTCTGTTGCAGGAACCAGTTCAATGGGATTTCCCAGAAGGCACGAGCATCACTTACTAACCCTAACTCACAGAACCTTATTTATTAAAAGCTTCGTGGCATGGACATGTCCTCTAACCCCAAAATCTCAAGTGCTATTAAACAGGTGCAGCAGGGTACTGACTCTTTTATCCTCCAAAAGCTTGCCTTATCACTGCCTGGGAGACTTAACACTTGCATCAAGAGGGAGGGTAGTACTATGAAATACTAGATTAGGTGAGAAGCCCATAAATATTTCAGAATTTTAATTTCTAAATAATAGTTTATGGTGTGATCTGTTTATGCATGTGCATATTTATGATGCCTATTGTAGAGGATACAAGTGAAGTATACAAAACTGAAATGCCTATCATTTATATATTGATACAGTTTTTTAGACCCACTAAAATTTCATAAAATAAATCACTAAGAGTACCAGTACACCTAAAATATAAATTAAATAAACAAAAATACCATATAAGAATTTGTAAAAATTATCAAGCTGTCTTTTTTTTTCACCTGCAATGTTTACAATATTTCTGGAAAAATACAATATGTATGAAAAATTCTATGGTTACACAGTTAAAATATAGCTATGTGTATATCTTTACAGATGTACAACTACCACTTTTCCAATGTATACATAGAGAAATTTTTAAAGGCAAATTAAAACTTGAAAATTTATTAACAAGAAAAATAAAGTTTGCTTACATTTACTCCTAATTTCTACTGTGTGGTAATCATCCATGAGAACATCATCAGGGTCCAGTTCATCATCAGCTTTGTTCATCAGCACAGCCATGCGAATCTCTCGTACTCCATCATAAACTAAATGTGAAGCATCAATGAACTCATTTTCATCCACCTCTTTGCCCGGAGTGCTGCTCAAAGCTTCTACAGCCACATCCACACGTTGTGCAAAGTTTGGTAGCACTGGGGAAAATATTGATCTTTTAAAATGCAAGTAACATTGAATTATGATTCATATGTTGTTCCATTTAAATTCAATCTTTATTATATGAAAAGCTGGAAGATTACAATATAGATAATATTTTCATAAGAAAACTGTTTTTATACTGTCCTGCCATATGTTTCATTAAAAATAAAAATATAACTAATTATTAAATGAATAACATCAAAAGATGCATATTTTATTAAAAAATAAAGTATATTACTGCACTTCTATATTTTTTTTTTTTTTTATTATCACACCGGCCGATTCCCACCAAGGCAGGGTGGCCCGAAAAAGAAAAACTTTCACCATCATTCACTCCATCACTGTCTTGCCAGAAGGGTGCTTTACACTACAGTTTTTAAACTGCAACATTAACACCCCTCCTTCAGAGTGCAGGCACTGTACTTCCCATCTCCAGAACTCAAGTCCGGCCTGCCGGTTTCCCTGAATCCCTTCATAAATGTTACTTTGCTCACCCCTCCAACAGCACGTCAAGTATTAAAAACCATTTGTCTCCATTCACTCCTATCAAACACGCTCACGCATGCCTGTGGAAGTCCAAGCCCCTCGCACACAAAACCTCCTTTACCCCTCCCTCCAACCCTTCCTAGGCCGACCCTACCCCGCCTTCCTTCCACTACAGACTGATACACTCTTGAAGTCATTCTGTTTCGCTCCATTCTCTCTACATGTCCGAACCACCTCAACAACCCTCCCTCAGCCCTCTGGACAACAGTTTTGGTAATCCCGCACCTCCTCCTAACTTCCAAACTACGAATTCTCTGCATTATATTCACACCACACATTGCCCTCAGACATGACATCTCACTGCCTCCAGCCTTCTCCTCGCTGCAACATTCATCACACCACGCTTCACACCCATATAAGAGCGTTGGTAAAACTATACTCTCATACATTCCCCTCTTTGCCTCCAAGGACAAAGTTCTTTGTCTCCACAGACTCCTAAGTGCACCACTCACTCTTTTTTTCCCTCATCAATTCTATGATTCACCTCATCTTTCATAGACCCATCGCTGACACGTCCACTCCCAAATATCTGAATACGTTCACCTCCTCCATTACTCTCTCCCTCCAATCTGATATTCAATCTTTCATCACCTAATCTTTTTGTTATCCTCAAACCTTACTCTTTCCTGTATTCACCTTTAATTTTCTTCTTTTGCACACCCTACCAAATTCATCCACCATCTCTGCAAACTTCTCTTCAGAATCTCCCAAGAGCACAGTGTCATCAGCAAAGAGCAGCTGTGACAACTCCCACTTTGTGTGTGATTCTTTATCTTTTAACTCCACGCCTCTTGCCAAGACCCTCGCATTTACTTCTCTTACAACCCCATCTATAAATATATTAAACAACCACGGTGACATCACACATCCTTGTCTAAGGCCTACTTTTACTGGGAAAAAATTTCCCTCTTTTCCTACATACTCTAACTTGAGCCTCACTATCCTCGTAAAAACTCTTCACTGCTTTCAGTAACCTACCTCCTACACCATACACTTGCAACATCTGCCACATTGCCCCCTATCCACCCTGTCATACGCCTTTCCAAATCCATAAATGCCACAAAGACTCTTTAGCCTTATCTAAATACTGTTCATTATATGTTTCACTGTAAACACCTGGTCCACACACCCCCTACCTTTCCTAAAGCCTCCTTGTTCATCTGCTATCCTATTCTCCGTCTTACTCTTAATCTTTCAATTATATACTCTACCATACACTTTACCAGGTACACTCAACAGACTTATACCCCTATAATTTTTGCACTCTTCTTTTATCCCCTTTGCCTTTTTACAAAGGAACTATGCATGCTCTCTGCCAATCCCTAGGTACCTTACCCTCTTCCATACATTTATTAAATAATTGCACCAACCACTCCAAAACTATATCCCCACCTGCCTTTTAAAACATTTCTATCTTTATCCCATCAATCCGGGCCCTGCCTTCCCCCCTTTTCATTTTACCTACTGCCTCACGAACTTCCCCCACACTCACAACTGGCTCTTCCTCACCCCTACAAGATGTTATTCCTCCTTCCCCTTTTCACGAAATCACAGTTCCCTTTTTCCACAACATTTAAAACAATTCCTCAAATATTCCTTCCCAAATCTTCCCAATACCTCTAACTCTCCTTTTAAATACTCTCCTCTCCTTTTTTAACTGACAAATCAATTTGTTTCTAGGCTTTCTTAACTTGTTAATCTCACTCCAAAACTTTTTTTATTTTCAACAAAATTTGTTGTAACATCTCACCCACTCTCTCATTTGCTCTCTTTTTACATTGCTTCACCACTCTCTTAACCTCTTCTTTTTCTCCATATACTCTTCCTCCTTGCATCACTTCTACTTTGTAAAACTTCTCATATGCTAAAATTTTTCTCCCTTACTACTCTCTTTACATCATCATTCCACCAATCGCTCCTCTTCCCTCCTGCACCCACTTTCCTGTAACACAAACTTCTGGAACACTCTAACACTACATTTTAAACCTACCCCATACCTCTTCGACCCCCTTGCCTATGCTCTCATTAGCCCATCTATCCTCCAATAGCTGTTTTATCTTACCCTAAACTGCCTCCTCTTTTAGTTTATAAACCTTCACCTCTCTCTTCCTGATGCTTCTATTCTCCTTGTATCCCCTTTTACCTTTTACTCTCAGTGTAGCTACAACTAGAAAGTGATTGATATATCTGTGGCCCCTTAAAAAATGTACATCTGGTCTATCAACAGTCTTTTATCTCCCAAATACTTAACCCAAACAAACTCTGTCATTTGCCCTCTCTTTTCGTTTATACTTTTTTCCTCTTTTTTTAAAAATAGTATTACCTATAACAAAAACCCTTTCATAAAAATTTCAATAAAAGGGCTCCCATTATCATTTACCCTGGCCCCCCAAATTTACCTCCCACCCCCTCTCTAAAAGTTTCTCCTACTTTGATTAAAACCCCCCCTACCCAATTACTTTCCACTGGTTCAAGGGCTCCTTACATTCACTTAACATCTCCAAAATTCCTCTTTTCCTCCTCTGCTTTCCTCTTTTCCGGTGTACACGCTTTTAGACCCCTTCTCGCCCAACCTTTATTTTAAATCCACATATATTTTAAAGATGCATTTCTTTTTTCCTCAAATAAAATGACCCCCAATTTTTACCTGGACATTTAGTTTTTTAGGATGTGGACCAAGGAAGCAAAAAAAATATAAAACCCCGGATCACTATTCGTGTCAAATAAAAATATAAAACCCTTGTGAATAAAAATTTAACAAAAATTTTTATGCAATGTAAAAAAATAATAGCCTGAAAATTTTTTTTTTTTTTTTTAAAAAGTGCCGTCTCCACCAAGGCAGGATGGGGCCCAAAGAGAAAGAAATCCCCAAAAAGAAAATACTTTCCCTCTATTCAACACTTTCCCTCACTAACATAATCATGTTTTTGCGAGGTGCCCAAAATAAACAGTTTAGAAGAATAGTTTAAAAAATACACAATACTCTCTCCCAAAATGCCAATATCCCCAAACCCTCCCTTTGAGGGGAGGCATTGTACTTCCCCTTTTCCCAATCAAATCCCCGGGTTTTATAAAATAAAACCGGTTTCCGAATCCCTTCACTAAATTTACCTGCTCACATCCAAAAGATCGTCAGGCCAAATACCATTTTGTCCCATTCATCCTATTAACCGTCACCCGCTTGCTGGAAAGTCCAAACCCTCCCCACAACACCTCCTTTACCCCCTCCATCCAACCTTTTCGAGGACGACCCCTACCCCGATTTCCTTTCCCTACAGATTTATACTCTCTCCATGTCATTCTACTTTGATCCATTCTCTCTAAATGACCAAACCACCTCAACAAACCCTCTTCAGCCCTCTGACTAATACTTTCATTAACTCCTCACCTTCTCCTAATTTCCACACTCCGAATTTTCTGCATAATATTTACACCACACATTGCTCTTAGACAGGACATCTCCACTGCCTCCTTGCTGCAGCATTTACAACCCAAGCTTCACACCCATATAAGAGTGTTGGCACTATTATACTTTCATACATTCCCTTCTTTGCCTCCATAGATAACATTTTTTGCCTCCACATATACCTCAATGCACCACTCATCTTTTTTCCTTCATCAATTCGATGATTAACCTCATCCTTCATAAACCCATCCGCTGACACGTCAACTCCCAAATATCTGAAAACATTCACTTCTTCCATACTCCTCCTCCCCAATTTGATATCGAATTTTTCTTTATCTAAATCATTTGATACTCTCATCACCTTACTCTTTTCTATGTTCACTTTCAACTTTCGACCTTCACACACATTCCCAAATTCGTCCACTAACCTTTGCAATTTTTCTGTAGAATCTCCCATAAGCATAGTATCATCAGCAAAAAGTAACTGTGTCAATTCCCATTTTATATTTAATTCCCCATAATTTAATCCCACCCCTCTCCCGAACACCCTAGCATTTACTTCTTTTACAACCCCATCTATAAATATATTAAACAACCATGGTGACATTACACATCCCTGTCTAAGATCTACTTTTACCGGGAAGTAGTCTCCCTCTCTTCTACACACCCTAACCTGAGCCTCACTATCCTCATAAACTCTACAGCATTTAGTAACTTACCACCTATTCCATACACTTGCAACATCTGCCACATTGCTCCCCTATCCACTCTATCATATGCCTTTTCTAAATCCATAAATGCAATAAAAACTTCCCTACCTTTATCTAAATACTGCTCACATATATGCTTCAATGTAAACACTTGATCTACACATCCCCTACCCACTCTCCTTGCTCATCCGCAATTCTACATTCTATCTTGCCTCTAATTCTTTCAATAACAACCCTACCATACACTTTTCCTGGTATACTCAGTAAACTTATTCCTCTATAATTTTTACAATCTCTTTTGTCCCCCTTCCCTTTATATAAAGGGACTATACACGCTCTCCGCCAATCCCTAGGTGCCTTCCCCTCTTTCATACATTAATTAAACAAAAATACCAACCACTCCAACACAATGTCCCCCCTGCTTTTAACATTTCTTGTCATTATCCCGTCAGTTCCAGCTGCTTTACCCCCTTTCATTCTATGTAATGCCTCATGCACCTTCCCCACACTCACATCCTGCTCTTCTTCACTCTTAAAAGATGATATACCTCCCTGGCCAGTGCATGAAATTACCGCCTCCCTTTCTTCGTCGACATTTAAAAGTTCCTAAAAATATTCTCGCCATCTACCCAAAACCTCCATCTCCCCATCTACTAACTCCCCTTCTCTGTTTTTAACTGATAAATCCATTTGTTCCCTAGGCTTTCTCAACTTGTTTAACTCACTCCAAAATTTTTTCTTATTTTCATTAAAATTCCTTGACAGTACCTCTCCCACTCTATCATCCACTCTCCTTTTGCACTCTCACCACTCTCTTCACTTTTCTTTTACTCTCCATATACTCTACTCTTCTTATAACACTTCTGCTTTGTAAATACCTCTCATAAGCTACCTTTTTCTCTTTTATCACACCCTTTACTGAAAGTATTGTTCTTAATTAAGTTTTCCCCTCACCGACAGTTACAAATCTCATTCTGTAAATCCTACAAGAAATTTTTATGCATAGCAATAAAGTGACAATGTGATGGCCACAGAAACATCCAGGAAGCGGTAAATGTTGTTATAACCCCATAGGAACACAGATTAGTTAGATGAACAAGCATTTCTGAAATTACATAGTACTGAGTAAACCTTAATAACCTTACCCTGGTCTCTTAATACTTTCACAGCCTCTAGAACTCGATCAGTATACATGCATGGCTCGTAATTATCCATTTCTGAAGCAACCACATGGCAGACACGTGTTGAACGACCACGGATAGCACCCGCAATGCGATCTAGAGTCTCTGGATCACCTTCGTTTATTGCTCTTACACAAGTTTTTACATCTTCTAATATGTGACTCTCTGTCCAGTAAAAATCATAATTAATCAATATTCAAATCTTGTGGTTTAAAAATATTGTATACAGATATTTTAAGTGAACATTGAAAACTTTTTAAAATTAAGGGTGTACAAATATTTATAATTATATATTCATGCTTACATCATTAATGTAGATCAAAAATTCTTAGTAAAGAAAAATTTCAATTAGTACCTGAAACTGCCAAGAAATCATCAATAGTTGTGATATCATCAACAGATTCAGTTAAAATGCGTACTTGATTTTCCCAGGCATCCTTAAAGGCATCCATGTTCTCTTGTGTTACCTATAATTGTTGGTATAAAGAAAACAACTGAATTTATGTTTTGAAGTTATTTTGTGAACCATTATTGAACAAAATATTAAAGCAACAAAATTTCCTACGAATTTACTGAAAAATGCTAAAATTGTACATCAATATTTTGCACTCTAAATGCACACAACGGCAGCTAATCTATTTACTACCTATCATCTTTGAATAGTAGCTGAAAATCTTATCTGACATGTTATACTCTACTTACACACAACCAAGTTAATCATATATTTACACTGCTCTTACTAACAATAACAACAAAGCTCTATCATTGACTACCTGAAGAGATGCTGCACCTATAATTTTTTTCTCGTAATTTAACCATGGCAGTTTAACAAATTCAATTCATATACTATTACATTTATTATACACCAGTTTTTTTAAAAAGTAAAGCATCTTACCCCAAAATATAATTATTTATATTACAGTAATACAACTACCATATACAACACACCTTAGACTTGGGACGTGCTGAGAGGATGCTTGCAGCATTAATAACCTGTGGGCACAACTGCTCAATTTGGGCTGCACCATATCGTACCATCTTAACACCATCCTCATTATTTGACATCGTACAGGCAAGGTTGGCAACTTCCACTAGTTTATTAGCATGCTCAGTAAACACCTGTAAAATATTTTAACTAACTGCAATTATTTACCTGTTATTATGATGATTTACCATTTTATAACAGTGTTTATGTAGGTAATGTTTAATAAAGTTACATTAAGTTCATGGCAAACAAATTTTGATATAACTTATTTTTCAAGATTTTTACCGTATTACCCTTTTTTTTTTTAACACAGTCAATATACTTCAACTTTTTTCTCTCCAAATATACTTCAATCCATAACACATATTTAATCTAACTAGTCATAATGTTCATATTACAAAGTGCTTGATGCTTTCCTTTCCACAGATTTCTCAACACTTGCAACTTTTTCTTCCTTCAGACCCATCACAATACAGTACCTTTCTCTATACCTACCATCTTTCATTCCCTATATTCATGCATATTCTCATCATTTTGCCCTTCTTTGCATTCGCTTTCAACTTCCTTTATACACCCTTCCAAACTATTTGCACCTAGTCTTCCAATTATAAACTGAATAATATTCTGCATATAACAACCACAGCAATTTTCATATATCAGACTCTACATATTAAGATCATGCTTTTTCCAAATCCTAAAACATTCACTTATTTTTAAAGGGTGACCCAAAGAAGAAAATACATTCACCATCATTCAATCAATTGCTGTGTTGCCAGACATTTGCTGAAGTGTCCTTCCCACCTCCAGAATTCAAGTGCAGCTAACCAGCTTTTCTAAACCCCTTCATAAAAATTACTATGCTCACACTAACAGCTCATCCATAAATATCCTCTTGTCTTCATTCACTTCTGTCTATAAATCAATACCACTTATAAACATATAAAACAGTCAGTGACATCACATATCATTTGTCCAAGACCATAACTGACCTCTCTCATTAAAAAATTTCAAGCTTTCAGAAACTTTCCACCTGTTCAGTAAAGCCCACAATAGCTCCTTTATCTAACCTGTTTTCCCATATGTGTATCACTACAAACACTTAAAACACATCCCTTTCTTATTCTAAATCTCTTCTATTCTTTAATCATATTGCCTCCTCTTCCATTCACTATCAATTCCAATTCTGTTGCACACTCAACTGTTAACAATTTTTCTTAATATTCTCTCTCTCCAACACTATTACTACTATATCTAGCACCCCATAACATTTACTCTAAACAGACAAATCAATTGCTCCCTCAGTTTTCTCCACTAATTTCTCTAAAACTTTCTTATTCTGAACACTGTTTTAAACCTATTGCTGCTTTTCCTTTTATCGTATTTACACTGTAAAAATCTTTTCTTATGCCAACTTTCTCTTCTTTACCTTATCATCTACCAATCATTTCTCATCCCTCCTGCATCTAAACTTCATTATCCACAAACCTCAAATTACAAGCCTATGGAATGTAATAATTAGGCTACAACAGAGGGATTTGGGATATTGGCAGTTTGGAGTGATATGTTGTGTATCTTTATACGTATATGCTTCTAAACTGTTGTGTTCTGGGCACCTCTGCAAAAACAGTGATTATGTATGAGTGAGGTGAAAGTGTTGAATGATGATGAAAATATTTATTTTTGGAGATTTTTTCTTTTTGGGTCACCGTGCCTTGGTGGGAGACGGCCAACTTGTTAAAAAAAAAAAAAAAAAAAATCCTAGTATATACAATTTCACAGGCAGTTTTATTATCTACCAACTTCTAAAGATGTTAACGCAAAGATATATAATCATGTGAAAACAAAATTTAGTACCAGGGTAAAAAAAAAAAAAATCTCACTGAAGTGCACTAACTGCCATATTCCAACAGAAAAATAATTTTAATTATCTCTTAAAAAATATCGCTGTTCAACAAACCTGGGCATATTCCTCTACTTCCTTTTCATTACCATTTCGTGCTGCTTCCACTAAAACAAGGAGAGGCACATTTGTCTCAAGGAAACTGCAATAGAAATAAAACTTACATATATGTTGTAGTTAACACTGCAAGATAAAAATGCAGTAGAATAAAAAAATTAAAAAATTAAAAAATAATAAATGCAACCAACAGATAAATTTTTCATAAAATATTCTGCATGAAAAAATGACAATCCACTCTAGGAAGCATTATGTCAAGATGTTAGACCCACTCCAAAATTATATGGAAGATGTTGCTTGTACAATAAAGATTGATGCTTATTATATACTAGCCTGTCTGAGACATGATCCACAACAGCTTTGCGCAGCTGACGACGCAAATCTTTGGTCTTGCGATACATGTGATCAATAGCTTTATCCAAATTCTCTGATGGCTGTTTACGTCCCATCTAAAACAAAGAAAATGGGTGGATTAAACAATGTAATAAAATGGACCTCCAATACAAAACATTGTAAATGCAGTGAAACTAGTGGTCCATAGTAAATAAATATCTGATTTGGCATCCTTAATTTTGATTAAGGAATGGCCATCTGAGGTTTCTAAGAACTCCTTAACAGATTCAATCTTAGGAAAGATGCAGTAAAAATTTTGTAAAAGATAAGTCAAATTCTTATTAATTTAACCACAGATATGTTATGGAAGATTAATTATTAATTACTGTTCAGTGCTCAATCAGAGATTTATATTTTGGATAACATATGTCTGTCCATCGATGCATTTGTATTAGGTGCTCTAGCATGTGTAAGTCATTCATGGCATGATAAAAAATGGAGACTGGTATAGCACAAAAGAGCTCTCAAATTTTAATTACAACAAGACTTCAACTTTTGACAGATAAATTTGAAATTAGTTTTAAATTCTGAACAGATTCCACTTTATAGTAGAACAAATATGCTCTCATTAAGACTTAATAGTAGAGAAATTTGAACTACAGTAGAAGTCAGCCATCACTCGTTCGGCATCACTAATTTCAGCTAGCATCTCTATTGATAGGTTAATTCAGTTGACAGGTGAACTGCTGAGAGGTCTAGATTATTATTATTATTATAATCACAGGGAAGCGCTAAACCTGTAGGATTATACAGCGCATGTGGGGGGATGGAAGGTATTCAGACTCAATTCAGGGAGCCGGACACAGATTCAATTCCCTAGATCAAGAGCCCCTCACCAAACTGTCTAAAGCAACACAGTTTTATGAGGGAACAAGAAATAATGAACTTTTACATGCCAGAATAGTGATGTTAGTGATGGCTGACCTGTACATAATTTATCTTCCATATTAAAAAATATTAGTTCCATTTTATACTGTTATAAGAACAGTAAACATGAACTTACATTGTCCATATATTCAGTTAGAAGATCTTGCAGTGCTTGTCTTACTGCATTGCATTCTTCAACAATCTTGAGACGACGGTCATCACGTGTACAGAAGGAGTCAGCCATAAGTGCTGCACCACTGATAATGGACTCTAAACGTTCTTCTAAAGATGGACGGGTGCGTACCTCATTATATGTGAGTGGATCCATATTGATGCGTTCCTGAAAACACCAAATTAATTTACAAGATTCAAATGACTTACGTGAGGTTAATGTGCATTTTTAAAATTATCGTGTGTAAGGAAGGTAGATGCATGATGGATAAAATTTACATTATAACCATTTTGTTTAACCCACCTACTTATGCTCCATCAGATATTTTTCTGTAGGGCAAGTGGCCTCAGATTTAAAGCCTCTAGACCGCCTATCCATGTATCTTTTAATCTTGTTTCATCCCCAGATATACTCGTAAAATGACCATTTAACTTATTGTTTAACCATTTTGTCTTCTCTCCCATCACTCTTAAGCTCCCACATCTCCCTTGTTGTTCTTACATCCATGAACTATCACTGCTTAACTATTAACTGTTCCCTAATGGTTTTTCATATTTTATATTCCTTTTAACATTCCTACAAATTAAGTGATTAAATGAAAAAATATATATACGATATTTACCAATCTTGTCAATAAATTAAATAAAAAACATAACCTATAACTAAATGATATATAACTAATTATGAGATAAGTGAGGAAAATCAACTACACTCCAGGAAATAAAGCTACAAAACGAGTTAATTTCTTATACATATGCCTAAAATCTCTTATAATTCATGGATATTTTTATTAACTACAAAATATATCTAAACAAATATTTATGCATCATTAAGGCAAGAACTTTTGGGTGGCTTGAAATATAGGTTGGACAGGTATACGAGTGGATGTGGTTGGATGTGAATTGGACCTGCCTAGCAAGGGCCTACTGCAGTGTTCCCTTCTTATGTTCTCTGATAACCAGAAAGTTTAGAAATACAGCATTGTATTGTCAAATTAGAAAAATCTATCTAAGGAAATACTCACATCAAAGTCATCCAGAGCTGAAGCTAATTCTCCAGGACCCTCATAGGGCATTTGACCTGCCCCAGTAGCCTTACCCTGCGCTACATCACTGATAGTGTTGACAGCTTCACACACTTGTTTAAACACAAAATCTCGATTGGCTTTTGCTGCTGCAAGCTCAGGATGTCGAACATATGCCTACAAAATTAATTAGATTTGGGAGGTAACTAAACATGAACAAAAACCATCATCAAATATATACAGTCAACCTCAAAGTTGACTTAAACCATTATGTATAATTTTATGTGTACAGTAAACAAAAATAAAAATATATTAAAAAAAGTTAGTTTTTATTGGGGTGATATCATCTACCAAGTGCCTAAACTGTTAAAAAATATAAAATATAAAAACATGAATGTTCATCAGAGGCATGGGACCCAAAATAATTGTTGCATGTGGTTTACAATCATTTGTTAGAACCAATGTCAAGGAAATCTTACAAGTAAAAAAAAAGATAAATATCAGTATGTCACAGACAAATTTATAAATTTATTTCTGTTTAAAATTTATTATTCACTATATTTATTTTAAAATTTCTTTTTAATGCTTAATAAACTTTCTGCATATATTAACAGAAATGGAGTGAATGTACGTGACAGTAGTACAGTATTAAGTCAATTTCAGATTGATTGAAGATGTAATAATGAGAATTACCATATTTGTCAATCATTTTTTGACACTGACAATAAAATTTTGTTAAACAAAAAACAGTAGCTTATGATACCTATTTTGTTATTTGGGAACATGGACATGATTGTATGTATACTTTTATTTGAGGTTACTCTTATCTATATGGTGAATATCTTTACCCATTTTTATACACATTTTGTGCCACTGTCATTCTCATTTCCTGGACATCTTGCAGTCAGCTGTCATCATTTATTTTATTAAAAGGCCACAGCAGGCATGTTGTATGGTGGTTATTCAATTACAAATAACTATCAATGAACTGAATTTAGGTTAGGAAATGACAGGTTCTAGTATTTGAAACTTTCAAGCAACTACCTTTTTTTTTTTTTTAACACGTCGGCCATTTCTCACCGAGGCGGGGTGACAAAAAAAAAAAAAAAAAAAAAAAAGAAAAACTTTCATCACTCAACACTTTCACCATCACTCATACATAATCACTGTCTTTGTAGAGGCACTCAGACATCCTGCACTCTGCCAGTATCCTAAACTACCTGTATGTCTGCCATAATCCAATAGTATATATGTAAGCAGTGTTTTCTTATGGTTGTGGTCACTGATGGAGACAGAAGTGTAGCAAAATACCACAAAAACTCAATCCTTTTTGATGAAATAAATAACTTAGATGACATAACACCTCGTACACAAATAACTCACATGTAGGAGACTGAGGCTTAAGACGACATTTTGGCCCAACTTGGACCATTAACAAGTGACTAGTTAATGGTCCACGTAAGGCCGAAATGTTGTCATAAGTTTCAATCTCTACATACAGGTTATTTATGTACTGTTCCAATCAGAGTATCGTGCCTTTTTATTCTTCAAATACACTTGTTTTACCCACTAACACACACAGATTATCTATTATCCAGCCCTCTCAGAGAAAGGTGTGCTGGATTTTCAACCACAACATGTGATCATATCTTATGGTTCCTTTTGTTGTTGCACATTCCTTTCTAACATTATCTGATTATGTGCCAGACTGAACAAGATAGCCAGAAAATTAAATGCTGAATGGCCAATGGCGGACAATACATAATCGATGATCTTCCATATCACTCTACATAATACATAATTAATCACACAAAACACAGCCATCAGCTACAGTGTTACAAACAAAAAAAAAAATCTTCAAGCTCCTCCCAGGAGAGGTTACAGTTTTGAGTAATTTCCATTTTCTCAATAACACTTTGTTTTGGCATACAATTAAGAGGTATTATTGACACAAGTTTCAGCAAAAAATTATGATGTTATGAGGAGTCAGCATATGCATATTTTACATACTGTACATGCCATTCTCTTTCTCCTTTCCTCATCACTCACTACCACTAAGCCTTTCCCTCCTTCCATCATTGTGTACATATACAGGTATATGTATATACACACCTATTTGTACTCAATCTGTTTGTGATTACACTGGTCAATTCTGAGATCCTGGCCCAAACTTCTTAACTTGCCACTCTTTAGATTCACTCCCTCTTAGCTTCATGGGCCCTATCATACCTGCTCTTAAAACTATGTATGGAGCCTGCCTCCACCACTTCCTCACCAAGATCATTCCACTTTCCATCCACTCAGACTGAAGAAAACCTTACTAACATCCCTATGGGTCATCCTACCTTCGTGGGAGATGGCCATTGTTAAAAAAAAAAAAATCGTACGGCTCATCTGTGCCTCTAACTTCCAATGGTGTCTCCGAGTTTCTGTTCTCACCGCTCAAACAGCCTAGCCCTGTCTAACTTATCAATGCCCTGGAGTATTTTGTTTGTTATCATGTCTTCCCTGGTTCTTCTGTCCTCCAATGTTATTAGATCCAATTCCATTAGCCTCTCCTCATTAGCTCAAGAACAAGTCTGTTCTATACTTCTGCACTTTCTTCAGCATCTTAACAAGCTTTTTCAGGTGCAGGTTCCATACTGGTGCTGCACATGCCAAGATGGAACCGTGTTGACTGCAGAGGTTATGCGGCTAATGTGAGCCTCTGATTAAATATGTATGTGTATGTATATACCTGGGTGGTCACCAAAAGCAAAAACTGCAAATATATCCAGAACACTGTCTGCTTTAATGAAGTTTATGGAGAAGAACTTGCCTGTTAAATATTTTTCTGATATTCTTTCATTAACCAATACAACATTTGTGCTGAAGCAAAACAAAATATAAAAAAAATTTGATATCCTGCTGATTTTTTTTTTTTGTCACTTCACAGATCTGCTTTGTTTCACTATGACATTGTATGATACAATTACAAGAACAAATTCCAAAATTTACTTGTGGGTTCATTGAGTGACAGTATAAAAGGAGATCGCCTTCCCACAAAGGAATAAACCTTCAGTTTCTCCTTCTGCCACTTAAGAGTGGAGAAATTTATTTCTGAAAGCTTTACAGCAACAACTGATGCAATTTTGAAATTTTTTGAAGTTAGCAACAACGATGTAAGAACACACAATCTGGGGACCTAAGAAGCTCTATAGTAGTGGAGAAAGTTTCAGAAGGGAAAGAAGCATAGTGGGCCAACCCAAGATGATGAGAAAAAACGGTGTTTCAGGCTTTCCTGCAACACATATAGGACATATCTCAAGATGATTCCATAAATTTCATAAAGATCTCCAAAGAACTGGCATTCCTCAGGAACCAGCTAAACAAGCTGAATCCACCTAGGTCACAAGTGAACATGAAGCTTGAAAAGAAGCTTAAGAGATGGGAAAAATCCAGGAAAGAGGGAAAATAAATGAGATGAGAAAAATTACATATCAATAGCTGTACAGTAGAACCTCTGGCCACAAACACTTCTGAACATGAACAAATCGGTTCATGACCAAAAAATTAGCCAAATTTTTGCATCTGGCCACGAACACATAATCAAGTGCCGAACAAACACAGCCGCGCCAATTTTCACATTCTGCGCCATTTTTTTCATAGATGCCAATTTTCCCCACTTCCTGTTGTTTGTATACACCTAACAAAGACCCTCACCTTGTAGTTGGTCTTGGTCAGAAGTGCGTTCATTCGCTGCGAATTCCTTGTGTTGTATTTCATGTGTTTTTTAATTCATTTTGCAATAAACCATGGCCTAAGCAAGTGAAGAGTGATAATGTGGGTGACAAGAAGGATTTGAAGAAAATTAAAATAGAAGTGAAGAAGGAAACTGAAAAGCATGAGCATGGTGTGCATGTTACCGATTTTGCTGCAGAGTTCAAGAAGCACATAGTCAACGATCTTACTATCTGAGCAGAGAGCAGCATTAAAGCAGCTAATGTTGCAAGGAGTACAGTGTTGAACCAAGCAGAGGCTCAAGTGCTGGAAGAGGTTGAAGGAAGACTGTTGCTAGTGTCGTTTGATCAGAAGAACTTGCAGTGACTTTGTATGGACTGATGAAGCCACTGTGTGGCGAAACGTTTCCTCAATAAAGATACCCAAGAGTTGCACATGTGTCTAATTTATCAACATGTTGGTTCTCTGAACCATTCATCTACAAACCGATTTTGCTGCAGAGTTCAAGAAGCCGAAGTCTACGATCTCTACTATTCTGAAGCAGAGAGCAGCTATTAAAGCAGCTAATGTTGCTAAGGGAGTTACAGTGTTAACCAAGCAGAGGCCTCAAGTGCTGGAAGAGGTGAAGAAACAGTTGCTAGTGTCGTTGAATCAGAAGCAACTTGCAGGTGATAGCATAAGTGAAGCGATCATATGCGAGAAAGCCAGGAAGATACACAGTGATCTGCGGCAGAATTACTATTTTATAAAAGAGTGCAGAAAGTGACGAATTTAAAGCCAGTAGAGGATGGTTTGAAAAGTTTCGTAAGAGAAGTTGTGGTAAGGCACAGAGAGGCTGCTAGTTCTGATGCTGCTGCTGCGGAAGCATTCACGAAGGCCAAAGGATATGTCCAGCAACAAGTGTTTAACTACAATGAGACTAGTTTCTTTTGGAAGAAGATGCCAAGGAGGACCTACATCACCCAGGAGGAGAAGGGTATGCTCGGCCTCCAGAATGAGCAGCATAAGGTGCTCACTGAGGAGCAGTCATCGGAGAAAGAAGAAAGGGAGGAGATTAAAAGTGATGTGATAAAAGCCGTCACAGAAAAATGGAATGAGTGCCAGGATTTCTTTGAGAAGAACCACTCCGACAAAACTGCTAGAGTATTGAACATGATGAAACGATAAAGTGGTCTCTCATTTCCATAACGTTTTGATGCAAAGGAAAAGACAAGTCACATTAGACTGATTTATGGTGAAATTTGGTCCACCAGCTAAATGAGAGAAAACACATGAAGGAGAACATCTCTCCATCATGGAGGCGGACTCTCCCTCAAAACAGTAACCTCCTCCCCACTTATCTTCCTCCTCACTTCCATCACGTCAAAAAGTCGACTCATGCAAGGTTAGTTTTCTTGGTTGTTTACAGTACATTTTTTTTGTTATTTAAATTTTTTCTCTATTAAACTGTGCATTATTTTGTATAATTAAGGATTTTTCAAACTTTGATTATTTTTTCTGTGCTTAAAACTCATCCAAAAAAAAAAAAAAAAAAAAAAAAAAAAAAAAGTTTACAGCGAATGGTTTGTAGGGGCCTAGAACGGACTTGCGCAATGTTAATTTTCTCTTTTGTTCAAGGTTTTCTCAGTGTTACTCAAGATTTTTACATTTAGTTTACTATTAAACTGTGCATTCTATGGTATAATTAACTATTTTTGTGCTTAAAAATCTTTAAAAAAAAAATTTACATACAGTTCGTTTGCGTCTGGAACAGATTAATCATATTTACATACAAACCAATGAGAAAATTAGGTTCGGGTCACGACCAGAGTTTTGGAATGAATTATGGTAGAGACCAGAGGTTCCACTGTACTGAAGGAATTAGAATTGTCATCTAAAACATACTCTTCCGAGAGTTTGGATGGTAGAGGAGCACAGCCACCTAAGTTAAGTCAGATCTTACATAGTTACTACAGAAGTCACAGCTTCTCTAGATCGCACAAAAGTTAGTGGTATAATGATAGTACATAACCCAAGCAGTTGGGCAAGATCCCGAGGCCTTGGGCCTCAATTAATGGATGGTCAGGAGGAGTAAGTAATGATGGGTATTGTTGGGGTGAAGGATTGTGATGGCCAAGGAGTTGTGATGGCCAAGGAGTTGCAATGGCTTTGAGGGCATCCCAACCTTTAAACCCAGCAATAACAAAAATATGAGATGTATCCTATAATTTTTTATATTATATACTCATTTTATGAGGGGGGTATAACACCACCATACCTTTACTAAACAATTAGTATATATTTTTTTAAATTTCATTATAAAGTTAATAGGAATTAGATGTGCAATAACAACATCCCTGTCCCCATCTCAAGTTGCAACACAAGCTTCTAGGGGAAAATGCAATTCACATAGAACATATTTTCACAAATTAATTTTTTTTTTTTCTGATTCCTATCTAGACTGTTAAGAGGGGGTTGGTTGTATATTACAAATTTTCAGAGAATTAGTTGGTACCCGTTTTAAAATTTTTCAACGAAAAGGCTGTATCCCACCAAGGCAGGGTGACCTAAAGAAAAAACAAAAATTTCTCATTTTAACTTTAGTAATTTATATGAAGAAGGGGTTACTAGCCCCTTGCTCCCGGCATTTTAGTTGCCTCTTACGACACGCATGGCTTATGGAAGAACTCTTTTCTACTTCCCCCACGGATATAAGAGGAAATAAAGAACAGGAACTATTAAGTAAATAGAAGAAAACCTAGGTGTGTACATGATGTGTAGTGTGACCTAAGTGTAAGTAGACATAGCAAGGTATACCTGTTGTTCCGTGTGTTTATGAGACAGAAAAGACACCAACAATCCTTTTTCTTCTTTCAACAAACCGGCTGTATCCCACCAATGAAGGGTGGCCCAAAAAGAAAAACAAAAGTTTCTCTTTTTAACTTTAGTAATGTATACAGGAGAAGGGGTTACTAGCTCCTTGCTTACAGCATGTTAGTTGCCTCTTACTACAAGTATGGCTTACGGAGGAAGAACTCTGTTCCACTTCCCCACGGAGATAAGAGGAAATAAACAAGAACAAGAAAGAAAATAGAAGAAAACCTAGAGGGGTGTGTATATATATGCCTGTACAGTGCTCGTCATGGCATTATGCCGCCCCTCCCCCACACATGTACCAAAACACAAACACATACCATGAAAGATTATACTACTATATATATTTGTACACTAATACTTGGTGCTGCGTCCTTTACGTTTAATCACGTCCGTCCCTCAGCCGTGTAGGAAGACTATCACACAAATTCTTGAGGGTTTGGGGAGGTATATTATTCCATGCCTCAAGTAGAGCAGTCTCCAGCTGCAGGATGGAACCGATATCCTTGCCCAGTAAACTTCGTTACACTATTGACCAGAGGTTCTCAATAGGGTTTAGGTCTGGGGAATTGCCTGGCCAGTCATTAAAGAACCTCACTTTACAGTCCTTAAGCCACTGAACTACAGATCTGGCGGTATGACACAGTGCACCGTACTGCATAAAAACCGTAGCTTCACACTTGTCAATTTTTTTTTTTTTTTTTTTTTTTTGGTAAATTGTCACACAATAACTCCAGGTAATTATACTGGTTCATATAATGGTTTTTGGGAAGCACAATGAGTTTGCCAACACTCTGAGCACTGAAACACCCCCAAACCATGAGCGAGTCTGGGTGTTTGGTGGTCCCACAGGTATAGTGTGGGTCTAGCGGGTCACTGTCTCTGGGCTGGTACACATGTTCACCAAGGTTGAAGGTGACGGTGAAGGTTGCTTCATCACTTCTAAGTACTTCAGACCACTGTTGAGGATTCCAGTAAAGGTATTTCTTTGCATAATCCAGCCTAAGTTTCTTCTGTGGTTTGGAAAGGATGGTTTTTTAACCTGGCGGTGACTACTGTAGCCAAGTTCTGACACACGTCTACTGACAGTTTTTACAGACACCTCTGAGAGAAGATGTGGGTTCTTTTCTTTCAATTCTCCAGCAGTTATCTTAGGTGTACTCTTTAACTGCTTCTTTAACACAGTTAAGATACGAACGAATGTCTTCAAGGGGCCAGGATGAGGTTTGGTAGACGGTATCTCGACACTGCCACCAGCCATGAAACGCTGCACCCAGTTCCTCACTGAACATTTACACACACCAACATTCTCCACTATTTCTTTTATCTGGTGCCCAGGTTTGTGAAGCCCTATGATTTGAGCTATAGTTTCAGGTGTTAATGACTTCCTTTTACCTATAATCAAACATGTATAGCCCCAAAACCTAAGAGAACACCAGACAAAAGATGGGATGGATGAGAGGCAAAAGTGCAACACTTCCTCTTGCCATGGCAGCCACATGAGCACTGAGGAGTCACTGTGGAGTGTGGCGGCAGGCCATGACGTCGTGCTAATGGCTGCTACCCGGCATAATGCACTGACTAGAAAAGAGCCCCCTGTATGGTAGGCCTTTGATTTTCGTCAAGGCATTATGCAGGGGCGCTCGCTTGGCATAATGCCGTGATGAGCACTGTACATGCATGGGTAGTGTAACCTAAGTAGAAGTAGCAAGACATACCTGAAATCTTGCATGTTTATGAGACAGAAAAAAAAAGACACCAGCAATCCTACCATCATGAAAAACAATTATAGGTTTCCATTTCACACTCACCCAGGTGCCCTTTAAGACTCGTCATAAGCTATCAACTCATGTTCAGTAGTTCCAAGTTCAAGATGTTACAGTAATTCATAAAAAAAGGGGCTTACTAAATGTGAGGTTATCGGTAAAAAAAAAAAACTTTAACCATCTTTATAACTTATGTACAAAATAAAAAAAAAAGACTTTTGGTTAACTACAATTTTTGCAATATCATTTAATTACTGTAATGCAGTCAGATAGCAAGACCAATTTTTATACCTTAGAAGCTGTGAGAAGCATCATGGAATTTTTCTTAAGTACAGCTCGAGCTGAAGCCAAATCATCGCGAAGCCTTGGGTCCTTAAGTTCATTTTGTCGTTTAGCAGCTTGGTTGATGAGGTCACTTGTGTTTTTACCAAACAAACGGAAATTATCTAGGAGCTCTGATTGGCTAGATGCATTTTTCACCTTTTCTAAATCATCCTCCACCTAAAAGAAATATTGTGAGAATACTTTTAATCATGGACTGGTTGATCTACTCGGGTCAAAAATGCAATATTTTGTCTTCTAAACATTTCAGAAATTTAGACTGTACTATATTAATTGGAAAATACTTGGCAATGAGAAGGAATATTGTTGAGTAATGCCTAAATTAAGGACTAGGTCACTGCACCTGTAAACCAAAATTCTTATAATAATAATATACCATCAAATACATGCATGCAAAAAAAAAAAAAGTGATTTATTAGCTCTATATCTTTGATGCTTTACTCCCATAGGAATTTCTCATCATGGAATTGATGGTTCCTTGTGGTATCTTCCCTGAATATTCATATGCCTTCATGCCTGTAAGTTTACAAGAATTGAAAGGAGGCCTAAAAACTTTTCACAAATTTCACATGCTGGGTTCACTATCATAAAATTGAAGTAGTGACCATTTGTTCTGGAAAAAAATGTTAAAAGAATAGCAAATGCTTCTATCAAGTGCATGCCAATGAGAAAATAGGGGCAAGGTGAAACAAAAAGATAAAAATGTATGGAGGAAAAATTGGAAAATTTTAAAACAGTACTGTATGAGTAATACAGAGGTGAAGAAACTGGATCACACCATGAAGCAGCACTGCAATGTGTGTGCATGCCATTAAATTCATGCAAATCTCTCTAGCCTATTCTCTATTCAGATTTATAAGCAGTTTTGCATGGGAACTCGACTATAGTTCTGCACTGAGCTTGTATATTTTCAGAGTAAGAACAACTGATGTTTATTACTTTAATTTTACAAAAATAGTATGCTGCTTATAGTAGATAAGTAAGATTCTTTACAACTCCTACCTATTATAATGAAATATTTCAAAATTTGTGCTTCAGTTAACTTTGGTTACATAAAAATTTAGTTATAGTAACAAGTCACCCAAGTTACACAAAAAATGTGTATAGGTATTCAAACTCCATTATTTAACACCTGATAAAGCTTTACTAAAAAATAACATATATATATTTTTTTTTTTAACAAGTCGGCCGTCTCCCACCGAGGCAGGGTGACCCAAAATAGAAAGAAAATCCCCAAAAAGAAAATACTTTCATCATCATTCAACACTTTCACCACACTCACACATTATCACTGCTTTTGCAGAGGTAATCAGAATACAACAGTTTAGAAGCATATACGTATAAAGATACACAACATATCCCTCCAAACTGCCAATATCCCAAACCCCTCCTTTAAAGTGCAGGCATTGTACTTCCCATTTCCAGGACTCAAGTCCGACTATATGAAAATAACCGGTTTCCCTGAATCCCTTCACTAAATATTACCCTGCTCACACTCCAACAGATCGTCAGGTCCCAAGTATCATTCGTCTCCATTCACTCCTATCTAACACGCTCATGCACACTTGCTGGAAGTCCAAGCCCCTCGCCCACAAAACCTTTTTACCCCCTCTTTCCAACCCTTTCGAGGACGACCCCTACCCCTCCTTCCTTCCCCTATAGATTTATATGCTTTCCATGTCATTCTACTTTGATCCATTCTCTCTAAATGACCAAACCACCTCAACAACCCCTCTTCTGCCCTCTGACTAATGCTTTTATTAACTCCACACCTTCTCCTAATTTCCACACTCCGAATTTTCTGCATAATATTTACACCTCACATTGCCCTTAGACAGGACATCTCCACTGCCTCCAACCGTCTCCCCGCTGCTGTATTTACCACCCAAGCTTCACATCCATATAAGAGTGTTGGTACTACTATACTTTCATACATTCCCTTCTTTGCCTCCATAGATAACATTTTTTGACTTCACATATACCTCAACGCACAACTCGCCTTTTTTCCCTCATCAATTCTATGATTAACCTCATCCTTCATAAATCCATCCGCCGACACGTCAACTCCCAAGTATCTGAAAACATTCACTTCTTCCATACTCCTCCTCCCCAATTTGATATCCAATTTTTCTTTATCTAAATCATTTGATACCCTCATCACCTTACTCTTTTCTATGTTCACTTTCAACTTTCTACCTTTACACACATTCTCAAACTCATCCACTAACCTTTGCAATTTTTCTTTAGAATCTCCCATAAGCACAGTATCATCAGCAAAAAGTAACTGTGTCAATTCCCATTTTGAATTTGATTCCCCATAATTTAATCCCACCCCTCTCCCGAACACCCTAGCATTTACTTCTTTTAAACCCCATCTATAAATATATTAAACAACCATGGTGACATTATACATCCCTGTCTAAGACCTACTTTTACCGGGAAGTATTCTCCCTCTCTTCTACACACCCTAACCTGAGCCTCACTATCCTCATAAAAGCTCTTTGCAGCATTTAGTAACTTACCACCTATTCCATATACTTGCAACATCTGCCACATTGCTCCTCTATCCACTCTATCATATGCCTTTTCTAAATCCATAAATGCAATAAAAACTTCCCTACCTTTATCTAAATACTGTTCACATAACATATATATATCTAGATATAAATAAGAAACGTGTAAAAAATTACAAAGAATACGTATTATGAGAGAAAAAAGACATTATCAAACTTTTCTGTTTTCCAATCACATACCACTTGCAAGCTCTTCAGAAGACGATGAACATCCACCATATCTGCTAATATAAGAAGGCGAGTGACTGCAGACAGCAGGTTCCTGGCAGCACGGACCATGTTGCCCCGCTTCACACTGCTGCAGGGGTCTTCAGCAAACTCTCTGGCAGCACGTGACATAGTATCCCCTGTTGGTGAGGAATGGGATTTGCGAGTCATAGTTTACTTATCAAAACATCACAAACACATTAACATGAAATTTTTAAAATATAAAATAAAGTATCAAAAACAGTCATAGAGATAGATAAGCAGAAACAGACCGACTGATAAAACTTTAGTGATAAACATACATACATATACAAGTGAGTGTGAAACGAAAGCCTGTAATTGTTTTACATGATGGTAGGATTGCTGGTGTCTTTAGTCTGTCTCATAAATATGCAAGATTACAGGTACGTCTTGCTACTTCTACTTACACTTAGGTCACACTACACATACATGTACATGTTTATTTATACACACTCATCTGAGTTTTCTTTGATTTTATCTTAATAGTTCTTGGTCTTATTACTATTCCTTTTATATCCATGGGGAAGTGGAATAAGAATCTTTCCTCCGTAAGCCATGCGTGTTGTAAAAGTCAACTAAAATGCCGGGAACAATGGGCTAGTAACCCCTTTTCCTGTAAAAATTACTAAAAAGAATAAGAAGAAGAAAACTGTCAAAGTGGGAAGTCTGAATGTGTGTGGATGTTGTGCAAATGATAAGAGATGATTGTGGATGTTATGAATGAGAAGAAGCTGGATGTCCTGACTTTAAGTGAAACAAAGCTGAAGGGGGGTAGGAGAGTTTCAGTGGAGAGGAATAAATGGGATTAGGACAGGGGTTTCAAATAGAGTTAGAGCTAAAGAAGGAGTAGCAATAATGTTGAAGGATAAGTTATGGCAGGAAAAGAGGGACTATAAATATATTAATTCAAGGATTATGTGCAGTAAAATAAAGGTTGGATGTGAAAAGTGGGTTATAGTAAGCATATATGCACCTGGAGAAGAGAGAAGTGTAGAGGAGAGAGAGAGATTTTGGGAAATGTTGAGTGAATGCGTAGGGAGTTTTGAACCAAGTTTGAGTGAAATGGTGGTTGGGGATTTCAATGCTAAAGTGGGCAAAAATGTTGTGGAGGGAGTAGTAGGTAAATCTGGGGTGCCAGAGGTAAATGAAAATGGGGAGCCTTTAACTGAGCTATGTGTAGAAAGAGGTTTGGTAATAAGTAATATATATATTTTATGAAGAAGAGGATAAATAAATATACAAGGTATGATATAGCACGTAATGAAAGTAGTTTGTTAGATTATGTATTGGTGGATAAAAGGTTGAAGAGTAGGCTCCAGGATGTACACGTTTATAGAGGGGCAACTGATATATCAGATCATTATTTAGTTGTAGCTACAGTTAGAGTAAGAGGTAGATGGGAAAACAGGAAAATGGCAACAAGTAAGAGGGAGGTTAAAGTGTATAAACCAAGGGAGGAGGAAGTTCAGGAAATGGGAAGTACAATGCCTGCACTCTAAAGGAGGGGTTCTGAGATATTAGCAGTTTGGAGGGATATGTTGTGTATCTTTATACGTATATGCTTCTAAACTGTTGTGTTCTGAGCACCTCTGCAAAAACAGTGATTATGTGTGAGTGAGGTGAAAGTGTTGAATGATGATGAAAGTATTTTCTTTTTGGGGGTTTTCTTTCTTTTTGGGTCACCCTGCCTTGGTGGGAGACGGCCGACTTGTTGAAAAAAAAAAAAAAAAAATTCAGGGAAACGGGTTATTTTTATATAGCCGGACTTGAGTCCTGGAAATGGGAAGTACAATGCCTGCACTCTAAAGGAGGGGTTCTGAGATATTAGCAGTTTGGAGGGATATGTTGTGTATCTTTATACGTATATGCTTCTAAACTGTTGTGTTCTGAACACCTCTGCAAAAACAGTGATTATGTGTGAGTGAGGTGAAAGTGTTGAATGATGATGAAAGTATTTTCGTTTTGGGGATTTTCTTTCTTTTTGGGTCGCCCTGCCTCGGTGGGAGACAACCGACTTGTTAAACAAAAAAAAAATTAAATATGGTACTGGATATAGACATATACACTGAAAGAAGTACTATACAATATATCCAAACAAACCATAAAATTTTTAACAGTGTCTAGTTACTGAAATTTGTAAACTATTTTCATTAAGACTATCTGACCAAATGGCACCCAATCTGAAAGCAACAACATATAAATATAAGTAAGTAGCTGAAGACGCTCAACATTCCACAGACATTCTTATAACGTAACATAACTAAGTCACAGGAGCAAGAATAAATGTACTTCTGAAAAATAATTGCCTCATTACTAGCAGAGTATATAAAAGTACCATATATTGTAATCAAATTATTTAAAAAAGTAAAAACAGAAGACATAAATAATGACAAGCTTAAATGAAGTGTCTGGTTAAATAAAACAATGAAAATAATTAAGGAATATTCTGAAGATAAAAATACATAACTTGCATCTAATTTAAAATACAGTAGAGGTGAAAATATTATGACTAGCACTCATGAAAAAAGTCAGAGTAAACCTTAATTACAAAGTTTGCCTATGCAACCACTACAAAAAATATAGCCATGAGTCTTAGTAATGTGAGGTTTGTAAAAATATTGCAACGGATCACAAAATTAGAACTTATACTATAATGCACTCCATCAACGTAAGAGTGAAGCTTGATGTGACAATATCTTGTGTTGGTTCAGATGTTGGGAAGATGGGTAAGAGAGAGGTGCAATGCTGAATGTTCCATTTCTGTTTGACAGAATTTTTGGTGGTGTTACTGTTTCCAGGAATCTCCTCAAATTATCCTCCAATTACCATTCCACAAAATAAGATGTGCAAATTTGACACAGTGTATAATATATTAACAAGTTATTTATTTTGAAGGTACAGTTGATCGTCAATGAAAATGGTAGTTACATTTTTTAAATTGTTGGATTATCAAAAAAAAAGTTGTCTAAAATGAACCGTAGACCATGTGGGATAAGCAGGGTTATGTACATCCCCCCCCCCAGAATGATTAAATAAAATTTTAGTCTCAAAATTGTAAAAAAGAAAAAAAAAATACTGTAATGTAATTGCAGTTTGATGCAGTTGCTTTCTGCCAATCACATGGTACTTTTGGGAGATTCTGAAGAGAGGCTGCAAAGGTTGGTGGACTAATTTGCAAGGGTAAGTAAAAGAAGGAAATTAAGAGTGAACATAGGAAAGAGCAAGATGATGAGTAAGAAAAAACTGAGGTAATGAAAGACTGGATATCAGATTCGAAGGAGGAGTATGGAGGAGGTGAAAATGTTCAGATATCTGGGAGTGGCTTGATGGCAGATGAAAGATGAGGTGAACCATAGAACTGACAAGGTGGAAGGTTGTGGATCACTGGTTAAGGTGGATGGCTGAGGTTCTTCTATTGATGTAGATAATTGTACTGGAGTACTGAGGAATTCTTTCGTGTGTGTTTGGTCTGTTTTAACCTGCAGTACTTTATACAGCTGACAGTAAGACATCAGCTGCTCCAGACCCCATTTCAGAGCATTGCTTCTAACTTTGTCAGGGTCCTCTTCAGTGAAAAAGAGTCTGCAACTTTACCAATACTATGGAACTGCTCCAACAAAGACCTGTCTTGTCAGCATTAAACACTTACTGTGGCTTATAGCCACTCTCAGAAATAATTTCTTACAATTGCGCAGGGAAATTCACTGCTGAACTGGATAGCATAATTTGAACTTGTGGAACCAGCCTGCACTTAACATGCTCTTGTTCACACCTTCCTTCATCACACACTGCTTTATAGTACTCTAGGGCTTTTTCCCCTTAAAATAAAATTAAGTGGTGCCATTTAGTTGGTTTTCTGCTCAATTCACTCACTAAATTTTTCCATCTTATTTAGCTGCTGTGACCTATGTATCAATCTTTTTAGGTCACAACCTGCATTACTCATTATACAAGTTCATATCATGTATTTATTCCCTTTAACTGAATGAATTGATGATTCAACAAGACCATAGACTCACTTTCTGCTACATGTGCATCACTCTTAAGCTTATCTAATACTTATTTTTCAAAACACCATGACTTTCACTCTTATAACTTCGTCTTGGCACTTCCAGCATCACTAACATTCCTTTTAGGTGCCATGGTTATTATCCAGACATGAGATACAATAATGAAAACATAAAAAAATTGATTCACTAACAGAGCCAAGTGTATGGGATGCATAAGCAAGGAGAACCGAGGCATGGGAGGTTGTGTACATTAAGTGCAACTAGGCTTCCTCAATGACCTGACCCATAGGCTGACTGTGAGGTGGAAGGGAAAGCTCCTGCAACATTTCAAATATTTACCCTGAATCTGAACCACTGTAAATGAACATTATAGTGACATCATAAAAAAAATGCTGTATATCTGTTTTCTATATTATTTGAAAAATGATGCAAAGTTGAACCCATGTATTACTTCTCAAATCCTGTACAGAAGATGGCATAAATGTAGCTTTGATGTCACAGGTTGTGTAATGAGCCTACTGAAATCATAGATAATTTTCAGTTGTGATCCAAGCAGCACCTATGCCATTTCTCTTAGGTGCTTGGGTGACTAGTGACTGTGTGGCCAATTAGTCTAAGATTCATTTCTTGATTTCAATACAATGTCTTGAGTTGTCAAAGCCTTGTGGATTTTTTTTATCATCAACACAGACAAATTTCAATTCAGAGATTTTGGTTATGTTACATCATCATTCGTCAAGAAAATTGCTGCTATCTTTTGTCTTCAGAATGCCTAAGTATTGCACATCATGCTGCACCTTGTCATGGAGAAAGAAAGTAACAGTAAATAAGGTCATCTTTTGTTTGTGTCCATTTTACATTGAAGTTGAGCCTGTTTCCCAGCTTGATCAACCCGTTATCCAGGAAACAGAGGTAGGTACTTTTCCTTCCTCACAGGTAAATTACTGTATATATTGAGTTCCAAAGAGTTTTGATCTATTCCAGAATGCTTGGTTTCCATAAACTATGCAGATATTAACTAACATAGTGCTCAAGAAAAATTCTGAATTTTTGTTTGTAGGAACAATTGTCAAACTCCCCAAAAATATGCACAACTCAAGACAGAAACACTGATGTCTGACAATCAGTCTAGAAGCCACTTGAATGGATGTGGTGGGTGTACAGATAAAAAAAAAAAAAAAAAAAAAAGTTTATTTCTTTGCAAAGGTTACAATGTGTGTTTACATTTCATAATTTGATTGGTACAAAGAAAGCTACTATCATGCCAGGGCATTTCGGGCACTTAGATATCTATGATAAAATTAGATATTTTTCAAGGATGTCTACCAGCATGTGCGAGGCTAAATTATAAGGATCATGTTCTCATTATAGCACCTACACACTTCAACCCTGTAAACTTCAGGAATCTAGATTTAATTCCGTGAAGCCCTGCAAACAGCAAAATATCTACAAAGCTGATTTTCTCCCTTTCCTAGATACTAGGTTCATTATGCAGGGATACAAGCTCACACCAGGACAGTGATTATGTGTGAGTGAGGTGAAAGTGTTGAATTATGATGAAAGTATTTTCTTTTTAGGGATTTTCTTTCTTTTTGGGTCACGCTGCCTTGATGGGGAATGGGCGACTTGTAAAAAAAAAAAAAAAAATCAAATTTGAATGAACATAAACTGGAACACCCTCCTTAATACCATTTATTAACGGGGGCAGGCCAGGCATGGAGTACAATAAACAGTTTGGTTGTGGTGCCAGAAACAGCATGGTCTTCTAGTAGTCAATAAGATCAGTAGCATGTCATTTTAGACACTATCTTTACATTTCGGTACATATTATTTACATTTAACTCGATAATCAGTAATGTAGTTTTAATTACAGAAGCTGTAATAAAAGTGAGGAATATCTCATATTAATAATGTTGCTATACCACAGGGTAGCAATGAAGAGCATGTTTATTGCTGTATAAACTTTATAAATGTTTTATACATTATGAGATCTAAAGCATATCCTATTTTCCTGAGGGTTCTTCAGTTTTTTAACAAATTATTTGAATATGGTGGTTTGTAGGAGCATAACTGCTGCACTGTACAAGGATTTACTGAATTACAAAGGAAATAAATTGAAAATAGTAATTTGGAAAATCAATACCTCTGGTTCTTCATGCGGAGTTGGGGAGAATCCTTCCTCCGTAAGCCATGAGTGTTGTAAGAGGCAACTAAAATGCTGGGAGCAAGGGGCTAGTAACCTCTTCTCCTGCTTACTGTGCCCTGTGGCCTGGTGGCAAAAGCTCTTGCTTCACACGGTGAGGGTCTGGGTTCAATTCCCGACGAAGGGGTGGAAACATCGGAAGGGTTTCCTTACACTGGTTGCCTATGTTCACACATCAGTAAAATGGGTACCTGGGTGTTAGTCGACTGGTGTGGGTCGCATCCTGGGACAAAACTGACTTAATTTGCCTGAAATGCTCTGCATTAACAAGGGGCTTTCTATGTACTGTAGTAGTACATATGTCACTGATGTCAGCTAGGCCTGTATACCTTGTACATGTACTTGTAGTAAATAATGATATTATTATATTATTATTATAAACTGCTAAAGGTAAAAAGAAGAAAAACTTTATGAAAGCGTTTCTTCTTTCTTGGGTCACTCTGCCACGGTGGGAGACGGCCGATGAGTTAAAAAAAAATATAAATAAAATACTTTTTGTAAAATTGGAGGAATCTGTTTAGAATACTGCACATAAAATAATTAACAAACATTCTTTGGCCTATATAGCATTTCCTACACTTACCTGTTTTTCTAACTTCTTCCACAGCACCAAGCATCTCACCCCTAATATCAGGGTTCTCATATGCAATTTCCTCTCCTCGCTCAATAAAATTTGCTGTAGCTGCCTCTACTGCTGCAACTAATACATGGGCTCGTTTACTTCTCCCTTTCTTTTTCTTTGAAGGTCCCTTTGTGTTGACAAGTGTTGTGACCTATTTATTGAAAGTTAAGTTAAAAAATAGAACATCTGAATATCACTCAACTACAATATTTTTTCATTCATATACGTACAGGTAAAGTACTATATACATAATGCAAGTGCAAATCCTAGTACAGTATAACCAAAGTTCTCATTATTTTGAAATACTTAGTAAAATAAAATTATGCTATTTTTTAACGAAATGTGATAATACCTGAGACGAGATATTATATGATTAAATCAAGCAACAGAACTAGATATCAGAAAGTAATATAATTCTTAACTGAAAAGTACAGTAACACCTAAATTTAATGGACTTCAAAAATATGGAAAATCCTCTGGGTAAATTTATTTAGAAATAATGTAGAAAGCCGTTGGTTACAGAACTGTCGGTTATTGTTACACTACAGCAAAACATCATCATCTCTATCCATCACAATGAGCATTACTGGCTACCCACTTCCTCCTATTAGGATGCTGAATTAAGGACTGACACTCAAAGAACTAATAGTGAAAGAATTTTTTGTACAACTATGGACTCTCACAAATAAATAAAGCTATCATTGCTCCTGCCCCAGACCTTACTTCCATGGAGTGAGGTGGTACATACCAAGAAAGAATTTAAAAGCATAAGGACAAAAAAAAAAAAAATCGAAGATGCATAACTGTATAATGAAACCCAGCCTAGTGTACCACCTTCCAGCCTTCACAGCAGAGAAATCTTAATCACACCAACTTCCAACAAAAATTCCCACAAGTGTTTAAGTTGTTTAATATATTATATGTAAAGTAACTTGCAAGAACTGATCATGCATTTACTCTCTCTTAGAAAACTGTTTCCATCCTGTCCTGCTCATTGACGAATCACACTAGAGCAAAGCAGAGCTCGTCCACTTGTACTACAGATTATAGAACCTCTTCACAAAAGGGAAAGCAAAGCAATGTTAGTGCTATTGACAAGCAGCATTGACACCACACATCATAAAAATCTTTGAAAAGTTTTCAGATACAAAATTAGTGACCATTGAGAAACATGAGCTACACTAGCTGAGTCTCTATGGCTCTAGAGAAGGAGATATATAAATAAGTTGCTAATAAAATTAGAGATTTAGAAGGTAGATACGATTAATATGTGTACTAAAAAATACTGTACAGTCATGCAGGACGAACAAAAAAAAAGTGTAGTTAAAAGAAGTTGAGCAGGTAAAATATAACTAACAGATTTTAACCATAAAAATACATGACAAAAAACAAGTGAATACTGTATTTATGATGCTTAGATGATGTATCACAAAAAAATCAAATGATATGTGACTAAGTTAAACTGTTTAGTAATAATGAAAGTGTGAAATTACAATGGGGTAAAAATTTATTAAAGTTTCTCCCAGTTTTTCAGAGTAAATGTGGCACTTCATGGATTCCAAATTACATTAATATTACATTGAAACAGTAATAGCATTTATCATGAGCAAAGATGGTGCAACTCTATAGATCATTTGAACTGTGATGTCCGTGCACTCGTAGAAAGAAGGCTAGGAAATGAGTGATGGTGAATGTGTTTCATTCTTTGGGTCACCCCTCCTTGGTAGGAAATGGCCATTTAAAAAAAATACTGTAAGCTGTGTATAAGGAATTAAAATATCATTAAATCAAAGTCTTATATAAGTACTGGCCATCATCATAAAAAAAATTTATGTACAGTATTAATGTTTAAGAATGGTAGAAAATTCAATACAGCAGTTAAGAGAAGGAAGAAAAAACAAAGTAAAAAAATTGGATAAAAATCTGTGAGTGAACTGTTAAATTATCAATCTGTAAAGTTTTTATTTATAATGTATTAGACCATGGGCAGTTAAAGTGTATAATGTATTAGAAACATGGAGAGTTAAAGTAGATAATGCACAAGAAACATGGCAATTAAAGTGGATAATGTATTAGAAACATGGGCAGTTAAAGTGGATAATGTATTAGAAAGGAATGAATGACTGACTAATCCTACCATAGAAAAATTATATCCAATACACTTAAACATTAACTAAAGTACAGTAAAGTATATTAGTACAATAAATCAAATAAATTATAATACACAACACTAAAACTAGTGATTTACCAAAGCATCTTAGTACCACTAAAGCCTTCAATTTCAGATTAGCATTATAAACTAAAATATACAGTGGACCCCCAGTTAACGATATTTTTTCACTCCAGAAGTATGTTCAGGTGCCAGTACTGACCGAATTTGTTCCCATAGGAAATATTGTGAAGTAGATTAGTCCATTTCAGACCCCCAAACATACACGTACAAATGCACTTACATAAATACACTTACATAATTGGTCACATTTGGAGTAATCGTTATGTGGGGGTCCACTGTATATTGTAAAATAATGAACAAATTCAAGAAAAAACTTCACATAGAATAAAGAAAAACAAATTTGATAATGTGTTGTATGACACCTAAAGAGAGAAAGAAATTCCTGAAACAGGATAGCACTAATGCTGTTTATATTACCAAAAAAACCATACTACAGTAATCACAACGCTAAATTTTAAAATCCTCTCAGTAACCATACCTTAGTGATAAGAATTCAAAATTATCCATAAATGAGGGGAGTAAAAAATAAGCATTACCTGTATAACAAGTGGCTCTAGTGTCTTTTCAACTGATCTGGTCTTGATTTCCAAATTCTTAATATCCCAGCGAAGAATGAAGCCACTTCCATTGTCTGTGTTAGACATAGTGGAGTAGTTGGTCTCTGGCATTTTTGCAAATGTGGTAGTGGTTCTGTACTCTCAAAACAAGCTCTCGCTTTCAAATATCTTCAAAAGTCCATTAATTTATAATATGTGCATTCAGTCACTTCCCAAAATTATTCATGGTGTGGCTAAATGTGCCTTCAGTTTTTCAATTTTCCTGGACTGTAATATTCTGTTCACTACACAAAGGAGTTTAACACTTTTAGAACGTTCATCCTCTACTGCAAACGCAGGTCGATTAACTTAACCATGCACTGAACTACACTCAACACTACATATCAACCTAAGACAAATAAAAGGAAAGAAACAAAATTAAAAACAATAACTAACAATATCCCTAGATTAGGCTTAGTGATGCTCAAATGTCAAAATTAAAAATATAGTAGCAAACAAAAATCTACAAGGGCTTTAAAACATACAAAAAATAATTATTTATACAGTGAAAACCCGGTTTTAGTCCAGTCTGGATATCGTACAATTCAGCTTTCGACCACTTTTTTGGCAAAATTTTCCGTTTGTGTAAATCCACTCGGAAATCGTCCATACCAGACACGTCCACCTGCCCACAGGACGCGGTTGCTCATACGTTTGTGACTCAGTCTGCCTTTGTTACTCGTTCACTAAGAGTGTCCCTCTAGTCTTAATGCCATAGTAATAATACTAATATGTAATAATAATCACTCTTGGGCACATTAAATGTCTTATTTTACGTTAATATAGACATTTTCATTAATCCATCTAAGTATGATATTTCCCTCAAAATTATATAAGAAACACATTACAAAGCATATAAACATGCAATGTTATATTCTATGGAGGGGTGGCAGTCGGGTGGAGGGAAAACATTATGTCTGCTCTGGTCCAGCATTAGAGAAAATGTGTATGAATCTGCAATGGCCCAGTCACTCCCCCCTTAATACATAACACATTTTTTACAATTCTCGGCATTAATTATTCATTACTTCTCCCTTTGTTTATGATGGCATCTAAAGGTAGTTGTTAGAAACGATTAAACTCAGTGAAAGTGGTATGTCGATGGTAATAATATGGCTCTGGGCCGCATTAAATATCGTGTAGCTATGTAGGTAGGTGTAGGTATGTAGCCCAAGCAGACCACATACCTACATCTACTGGCTACCTATACCTAACTTCCTACAAATAAGTACTACTCACCTCTTGCCCTACATTAAGACTACAAATGCTTTAAGGTAAGTAATGAATGTACTGTGTATGTATTTTACTTTATACAGTGGACCCCCGCTTAACGATCACCTCCAAATGCGACCAATTATGTAAGTGTATTTATGTAAGTGCGTTTGTACGTGTATGTTTGGGGGTCTGAAATGGACTAATCTACTTCACAATATTCCTTATGGGAAAAAATTCGGTCAGTACTGGCACCTGACCATACTACTGGAATGAAAAAAGTTCGTTAACCGGGGGTCCACTGTATTGTGTTTTTAATGCCTAGTTCTATTACTAACTTAATATAAGTTAGTGTAAACTTGACAACCCTACATCTGTTCTAGAATCTATTGTGCCACTGGGGAAATCTATGGGGTTTGATGTGAGTGGCCAGGATGTGGAAGAGTTGGCTGGACAACCACAGAGAGCTAAAACACTAGTTATTCTCTAAAAAAAATTATTTTTTGTTAATATTTTTGGGTGTCTGGAACGGATTAATTGGATTTACATATTTTTTTATGGGAAATATTACTTCAATTTTTGTACAAATCGATTTTCGGCTGACCTTCTGGAACAGATTAAAGACGAAAACCAGGGTTCCACTATGTGTGTGTGTGTGTGTGTGTGTGTGTGTGTGTGTGTGTGTTGTGTGGTGTGTGTGTGTGTGTGTGTGTGTGTGTGTGTGTGTGTGTGTGTGTGTGTGTGTGTGTGTATATATTTATTTATTTATTGTGCTATTAACACTACCAATGCAACTTAAAACACTAAAAAGTTTTCATGGAGGTTAAAGTGACACTAAGGTTTCTTCCTACACACAAAGACATGCAACAACAGCAGAAAAAGTGACTTCACACAAATTTGATGCCAGTAATGCTGCATCTCATTCAATAAATAGCAAATTTTAGATAAACACAAAAATTGTAGAGATGCAAGGCATTGTCTCATATTGTATATAAATATATGTACATATATAGTATATAACTAAAACAAGGTCTTATGGGAGGGAGTCAATACATGGACATTATATGTACTGGTAATTTATACTGAATAAATTGATTTTTGAATGTTAACCAATTTCACAAACAGAACAGCAGTGGTGAAGCTATGCAAGTTTCCAGTGCTGTGTAAGGAAGGTGAAAGCAGCTTACGTATATGCTTATGTATCACAGTTATTAATCCAGAACTATGATGTATTTTTCTTTTCACCTGCAATATTCATTCAGTGATCAGAAATGTACAGTACAAGGTAGGAGATAAACTTATTAACTAAGAAATTAGTTTGTAAAATATAAATTTATAACTAAAAGCAACATATTGACAATAAAGTACTGGACATAAAAAAAAAAGGTACTGAGGAACTGGAAAGGGAGATGATTTTAAGTGAATTATGCAACATTAATGTGCAAGTGATTCAAATATAGTTTATCTGTGAAGTATTAACAGGTTTAAGCTGGAAAAAATGTAGTCTTTCAAATAATTCACATGACATACAATGAGAGGGCGCAAGTTCCCATCTATTACATATCTTGTTAATAATTATTTCCAACTGTATGGTAGTTATTTTTCACTTTCAAGTGCAGAAATTTTTTATTAGCTATAACTGCCTAAGAACAATGAATACTGTACTAACTTTCAATGTATGTACTATAAAATTCTAGTTTTCCATTTAGGTAATTTTTCAGTGTCTTCTTATTAAGCAGAAAAACAAAAAACAAAAAAAATGTAAATTTTTCAAAAACAAAATAATGTTTGTTTTATCTATGTTGAAAATACTATATTATCTCTGTTGAAAATACTATATATTACCATGTTTGAAGTACAGAAAAATATTAAAAAGAAAATACATTAATTCTGTACTGTTTTATTGCCAAAACAATGCATCAAGTACAACCACTACTATACTTTACAAGATCCTTTGTTTCTCAAAATTGCAGCAATATCGGATAAAATATGAAATGCTTATTTCAAACAGTAATGATGGCACACAATTTGTATGTGTCACAATGTTTTGCTGGTTCTGAGCATCACTATTTCACATAGGAGCCAAGTGCTAATGGACTCAGAGAAAACACAGTTGTTCATTTTTTCTTCAATAGAAGTAAACTTACATCATCTATCTTACAGCTTGTTTAGACAAGCTGGTTTATGTTTTCAATTGGAGTAGAGCGAGCTCATCACAGAAAATTTTTAAAATTTTAACAAAGGCCTAAAAATTCAACTTTAGTTTTGCAAAACCTTTAAATAATAAAACACATATATCTAAATTTTTATCAAAATATACTTCTACAAATAACTGGTCTCTGAGCCATAAGCTTAGCCCACAAAGTGTTGCCAAATCCGAGGGCTGTATTTCAAATCAAAGCTCGACATCACCTGAATCACCAAGGGCTCTAAGGTCTTCTCCACAGACATGGTACGGATCTCAAGGTTCTTTGGATCCCACTTGAGAATCACAGGAGCTCCAGTAATGTAATGATCCAAAGTCATGGCAGCAGGTGGTTGTGATGAGAATGTTCTGCCACGTACAGTTATGTGGGTATTGGTGATACTCGAAATGGTTCTCTTTGTTACCTATGTACGTGGATCTGGAATATAGTATATATAATATCAAATTAAAATGTGTAAGGAATAAAGGTGCACAATGTCATATTACGACAAATGCTTAAATATAAAACAATTAAAAGGTTAAAATTACTGCAATGGAGGATTTCATATACAGGGGTACCTTGAGTTACGAACTTAATTTGTTCCAGAAGGCTGTTCGAGTGCTGATACCGAACGAATTTGTTCCCATAAGGAATAATGTAAATTAGACGGGTCTGTTTCAGACCCCCAAAAATATACTTACATAATTGTTCGAGTTGGTAACTGTTTGAAACTCGAGGTACCACTGTACTATATAAAGAAATACTGAGTAACCAACAAAGCTGGACCAGTAAGTAAATATTGGTAATCAGCAAAATTCATCAATATAATGACCACTTTTTTTTGTAGGTATCAGCACATTATAGGAGCAACATAAATGAGACGTTAATACATCACCAAATATTTGCTTAAATACATCACCTAATATGTATTTGCTTAAATAAATTTTCATTGTGAACACTCTAATTATTATTATTATAATCAAGGGGGAAGCACTAAACCCGTAGGATTATACAGCGCCTATGGGGGGATGGAAGGCATTCAGGCTTAATTCAGGGAACTGGAGCACAGATCCAATTCCCTAGATCAAGAGCCCCTCACCAGCGTCAAGGAGCCTTCCTTGAGGGGAACAATGTGAACACTCTAAACCCTATTGCAGAGTGATCACTTTTTAATGGAAATACCATTAGCTACCAAATATGACTTGCAAAAAGCACAACATGTAGAGGAAAGCCTACATTATTATAGTAAGGAAAAGTTAATGATCTAAGTCTTTTAGACAGATTTGAATAAAATATTACAAAAGATAAAGTGGCAGATCAGCCAAGCTATGGTGGTTATGTTGCAGGATGTGCCAAAGTATCAGTTTTGGTAGGTATTGGCTAATTTTGATGGTACTGATATCAACATCAGTCTAAAATTGAGTATCTGCATCAGTTAGTCTCGGCTATTTTTGATAGCACTGTATTGGTATCAGTATCAATGATGGTGGTCTTCTTTAACCAGAAGTTTGGTAAGTTGGGGGAAGAATGATAGGTAAGGATGGAATGTGGAAAAAGGGTGGGTGGGGGGTGGGTAGGGGGGAATAAAATGGCCTAACCACTTTGGTGCATTTTAATAAAGGTGTGTGTGTTGTGTTATTCATGATAATCATAGGATGGGGTATATCACACTACCCATCACCGTCACATGTATACAAGTTGCATACAAGAGGGGGCAGTTAACTGGTAGTAGGTATAGTTTTTGCTGCCCCCCCCCCCATTAATTTTTTGTGCAAGAGGCAGGTTGCAAAGGCTGGTCACTAAGTACTTGCTGGAGGTGGTGGTAGTAATTGGCTGCTTTGCTGGAGCTGGTTGTCGGCTGAACTGTTTCTGAGGCGGTTTCCTGCCTTGGGGGGGTTTGCAGATGTTACATGTTTGGATGTAAGGTCTTCATAGTTGGGGTGGTTTTATCCATCTTGGACAGAGAACAGCTCTGGTGGTACCCATTCTTTTATATCTTCAGGGAGATCACTCAGAATCTTCGGTCTCGGGAAGTTTTCCTTGTGAATGAAATGTTGTACTGTTGGAAGGACATCCTATATGAATGGCTCTGCCGACATGCTGTTGAAGGTGGGGATGATGCTTCTATCTGATAAGAAATTATATATAAGCCTGTGGAAGGTCCAATTGTGGTCTGGAAGGTCGGCAAGTTTGAATATGAGGCCGTTATGCCACAGGCTATCAAAAGCTTTGTGTACATTCCTAGTTGCGATTAGGGCAAGATTGTCTTGTTTCTGCAGGCTGTCCACGGCATCGATGATACTGATGACGTGTTAAGTTCTTCGGTGGGTCCTGAACCCAAACTGTTTTTCAGTGAAGAGATGACTGAAATCATGAAGTAGCTCAGTATATTGGAGATGATTTTTTCAAAGACTTTGCCAGTGACTTCAAGTAAAGAGATAGGTCTGTAGTTCTCCAATTTATGCTTGTCTTTGTTGGGTTTTGCAATGAATATCATCCATGCTGTCTTAAGTGCTACGAAATATTGATGGTGATGGTATTGGTATCGGAATAAAATTATCTATAAGTATGCACGTGTTCATTTGTGTGTGCACGTGCATGTATGCACGTACGTGTGTGCATGTGCATGTATGCACGTACGTGTGTGCAGGTGCATGTGAGCGTTAGTGTACTCAATTACTTGTGGTTGTAGACGTGCTCGTGGGTGCGTGTGGCGGTAGAGAGGAGTGAGCGAGCTAGAGATTGGTAAAGGTGGCTCGAGAGTAATATGAATTACAATACTTTATGTACAGTATGACACTCGGACACATTACACTACAACAAAACTAAGTCAGGGTAAAGAACATTCCTAAACACTGATCCAAAATTCCCAACGTCCTATATTTTGTCATCTGCTTGTCATACACACAGAAATTCATCTTAAAGCAGATTCTCTACAACACAAATACATTTCTTAGGAAGACAATGCAGGTGAAGACAATGTACCGGAATGAGTAACGCCCAAACCCTCTCTCCTCCACTTCCGGCTGACCTCAGTAGCTCCATCCAAGTACTTGTTTGTGCCTCCTCCCAAACTCCTCACATACACGGTACATACTTTCATTAACTTGTATGTTCCCGAAGTCAACTACAGTTCTAAAAATTACAGAACCTCAAATGTAACTCGCAACTCTGGATTATTATTATATTCAGAGGGAAGCGCTAAACCCTGTAGAATGGGAGACAATCAGGTTCGAGCCAAAGAATAGGAAAACATATAAATTCCTTGGATCAAGACCCCTCACCAGCATCATGGAACCTCCCTTCAGGGGACAAACTGTGACAGGATTCTCTTGGGATGTAGGCTGCATGTACGAGCTAGTGGGGTGGGAGCATTCACAATTCATTCTCAAAGTCGTGTTCAGATTCACTGGCGCGGAGAAACTGTGTGCTAGTTTCATTACATCTCTCCGCACCTAGCAGTAAAAACAGGCACCTGGATATTAGCCGTTTGTGGGGTCACATCTGCTTTAAAAATGTTAGAAAACTGCAGTCGTGGGCACGAACAGCCTGATTAATCAGGCTAGCATCCAATACTTGGTCTGGGACCGGTACGCGGGGGCGGTGACCTCCGGAAGCAACAACTAATCTAACATGGTGTTGGGTAAAATTATTCGTGTAGCTCATGATGTTAATTAATAAACATATGAGTTACCTAGCTTTATATATAATATTTAATATATATATATATATATATATATATATATATATATATATATATATATATATATATATATATATATATATATATTTTTTTTTTTTTTTATCACACTGGCCGATTCCCACCAAGGCAGGGTGGCCCGAAAAAGAAAAAAATTTCACCATCATTCACTCCATCACTGTCTTGCCAGAAGGGTGCTTTACACTACAGTTTTTAAACTGCAACATTAACACCCCTCCTTCAGAGTGCAGGCACTGTACTTCTCATCTCCAGGACTCAAGTCCGGCCTGCCGGTTTCCCTGAATCCCTTCATAAATGTTATATATATATATATATATATATATATATATATATATAAAATATATATATATATATTATATATATATATATATATATAAATATATATATGGCGTGTCACTTAGCAAGCAAGAACTCATTTAAAATTAAGTCCTTTCTAAAATTTTCTCTTATACGATTAAAGATATATATTTTTTCATTTATGTTAATGTAAAAATTAATAATTTTGTACCAAAAGAACCTTAGAAAACTTACCTAGCCTTATTATAACAAGCGCAATTTAATTTAGCCTAATCCAACTAAATATATTTTAGATAAGTTTACAATAATTTAATAATAAACAAACACAATGAAATATATTTTTTCGTTAGGTTCAGAATGATTTTTACGAAATTACTGCATATACAAATTTTCGCCAGCCTTATTCAGCAAGAAGAGGGTTGCTATTTAAGCCAAAATCTCAAGTTTCACCTATTCGGCACGACAGTAATAGCCCAGATGCGTGGTTATCATTTTTGATCCTATTACACTTTTTTAATTTCCTATGTAGGAAAATTATAAATGCTTCATGAAGTCTGAACCTGACTGTCTTAACGCAACTGTTTACATTTATTCTCGACTCGGGACTGACATTTAATATTAGATGGGTACCTAGATTTGCAATATAGTGGATACATTTTGAGAGCCACTACAGTTTCTTGTTATTGAAACGTTAAAATATTGTCAGTCATCATAACTAAAAAAAACCTACATAATTAAAATAAACACTCGTGTTATAGTAATGTTGACTGTAAGAACCAAGTCGAATCTTAAGGCGTTTTTCAACGTTCACATCTGGTAGTAAAAGTTTGGTCATATTCTAATGGTTACAGTGGTACAGAAGTCTACATAGTTTGTGCTGTGGATGAGAAGGGTCTTATATTGTCCGTTATTAGGTTAGCATCTGAATAGCTTGATAAAAAAAAGTAGCCTTGACAAATTACGGCACAGCTGAAAAGATAACACCAGTAGCAGAAAGTGCCAACGTGTCCTACAGAATTATCAATGAAGACAAATGATTCACCACCATACTGATTAAATTCTTATCACCAATTCAAACTCTACGTCACTCTACCATTACTTTCCCCGCCTCACAATGTTGCTTATTCAGGTAGTATTAAAGGTGATCATATATTTTCATTCCCTATACAGTGTACTAATAGCTCCTTCCAGCAATTACTGCGACACAGCAAATGGATTTCATCTGAACTGCATGGTGAATCCTGACAAGAGGGAAAGGAGTAGTAGTGTTTCCAGATACGAGAGAATTACTTTAAACAAGTTTATTAAAAATAGTACATAACACCGACCACCTGATGGGTGATCGGT